CAGTAATTTTAGGACCTCCCACCCACCTACCAGCATTCTATCAGGAAAATTGAAAGAAATAAAAACCTTGGTGTTTTTACATACATTAGACTATGAAACATTTGAAAAAAGACATTTAAGATTTTTATTATTGATTTATTGACACACTTCTAAAAAATTTTGAAACACATTTAATATTTTGCAGGCCATTATGTATGTGCAAAATTTACAATATTAATATAACAATATAGATATACCAAATTTAATAATAAATTTTTACAAGTTTCATTAACTCTATATATTATATGTTCTTTTCAGGTAGCATAATAACATCGAGACACAGTTTCCAGCAAGATAACTTTTGGAAAAGTTTTATCATTGATTAATCATGATCAGAATAGCTATCATCTGCTTAATAATTTCTTTTGTTAAAAGTAATTATTGTAGTCTTTCCCATGAAGACTTAGAGAATTTGATAAATGTTTTCTCAGATTCAGAAACATTTATTAAAAATCGTGTTTTAAATGAAGATGCAGCAATTTTCGTGGGCAAATTGAAATCTGGGAAAAGTACACTAATTAATTACTTAATCGGGAATACGTTAAAAAGTATGAAAATGAATAGGTTTGAGCAGATAAGAATAGTAAAAGCAGACAATCAAACCGATGGACCTACAATTGGTTCTCTTGTATCTGCTGAAACTACAATTCCATCTAAATGGACTTCAAAAGTATTTCCCGATTTATCACTATGGGATTGTCCTGGATTTGATGACAATAGAGGAGCAGTACAAGACATTACCAATGCCTTTTATGTCTATCATTTAATGAAAAATGTTAAATCACTAAAAATTATTTTAGTTATCGAGACTAACAGTTTAATGACTGACAATATAGATGATTTTTTATCAACTTTAAGATCTTTTCAACAAATGTTTATAAAACAGTTTGATGTTTGTTTTCAAAGCATTTCGATAATTTTCTCTAAAGCAGAATATGAGTTTCATGAATGGACAATAAATCATGAATTCATTAAAGATCTATTAAATGAAAAAGTTTTACTAGCTTTTCATAATATTATATATATCCTTTTACAAAAGCTTTTTTACAATATATAATAGATAATAAGGATAATGTTGCTTTTTTTAGAAAAGCAAGAAGGAAAGGAATCCTATTCAATATCAATAATTTTTCTGATATTGATGATAATATTGTTTCGGCAATTAGAAACTCCAGTAGTTTAAATAGAAGTTCTCTTTTAAATGTACGTCCAATTATTTCAACGTCTTCAGAGGCGGCACTGCTTGATGTCAGGTCTAATTTACAATCAATAGGAACATTTGTTACCCTAATGGATATTTTATGATAACCTAGAGATATCCTAAGGATATTTTTAGGATAAACATCCCTAGGACATTCACGAAAAGTTTTCATGATATCCTAGAATATCCTTTGCTGTGAGGGCTATTTATTAGTTTGTAAGATTTAAAACGAGTGTAAAAGTAAATAAATGAGAAAATAGAATATAAAACTGTATTCAATGATATATTTAAATTATATTTTATAAGAAGAATATTATACGCATTATAATTGATATAATAAATAAAATGTATCTAATTTAATTTTAAAGACAATTATTATCTTTTTTTGCAAAAGCACAAAATTGATTTGTCTGTTCTGTCTTCTTAAAAATAAGGTGAAAAATTGAGCAATAATTCGAGATATCCTTTTCTCAGACGTTTGTCCACTATCTATATATATATATGTATTGTAAACATTTATATTTTTTTAAAAGACATGCACTAAAATTGGCAAATATGCGGTAAATATTTTATCATTATTTCTTCTGTCGTGTAGTATTATAAATAAAAATTTGAAAATAAATTAGTAAATCATAAACTTTTTTTTTTAATTAAATAACAAGAGAATATAATTTACTTTTTTTCATTTTTTTCTTATTATTATAAAAATACCTTCTTTCAATATTATTTTAATATATTTTAATATATGTGTAATAAATGAAATTTTCATGGTCTATAAATAATATATATGTATTTGTTTATAAGAATACAGTGACGTCAATTTTATTTATAAAATTAAAGTAATTACTCTATTCTTTCGTTTTGCTTGTGAATTTTTTTATTAGAGCCAAATTCGCTATAATTTCTGAAAAAATTGTTTAGATCGCATATTTGTGGTGGTACATTGCTTAATAGTAAAAAGAGGCGGAGCTTAACTATCACTGGTGGGGGGTGATGAGAGCGAGAGAGAAAATGCGAAATATCTCTCTTACTCTCATTACCCCCTCTCCAACTTTTTCAATTTTTTCTTTGTTAAGTATGATAAACACACGCACAATGAAAATATTTTGAAAAAAAATACTTTATTTTTATTTATCAAAAAAATTATAAAATCATGATCAAAGAGATTATTTAATTAGATTATATCCTTTTGAACCACCAGTAGTTTTTACAACTGTTGATCAACCACCACAATACAGTCTTTCTTGTGGAGTATATGCAATAGCATTCGCAACATCGTTGTTTTTTAATATTATGCCCACTCTGTCAATTACTATTATTGTAATATTAGAAATTATTTAATGTTAATGTTCGAAAACAATAGTTTTATTTAAATTTCCCTCTGTACAACTTTCTAATATTAGATCAAATTAGGATAATTGGTAGGGAATCTCTTGCATAGTTGTGTATGACTGGAATTGCCTTTTAAATAAAAAAGATATTCAACTTCAGTATGGAGAATCAAACTTTTCTAAAAACTCTATTAAGAAAGAAATTTCTTTCTGGAGAATAATAAATGAAAGAAATGAAGAAAATATTGCATCAACAACACTTAAATAAAGTAGGGCTGAAATTAAAAAAAATTATCATGAGAGGCAAAAATTGATAATGAAAATTATTCAGAGTTAGCATACACAACCATTTCTTTCCGGAGTCAAAAACACTTAAAGAAAGTAGGGCTGAAATTCAAAAAAATTATCGGAAGAGGCAAAAATTAAAACGTACAATTGATAACGTAAATTATTTAGGTGAAAAACACACTTCAACTAAGAAAAAACTTCAAGTCGAATCCAAAATAGAACATGCTGAGAACCTTAAATTAAAAAATAAAAATAGTGATACAAGTTCTTTGTCAAAAACAAGGAATACTCGATGTCAAAGAAATTATTGTAAAGGAGTATTAAAGCATGAAATTCAAAATGAGTTGAATGTTGAAAATTATCTAGGTCCGATGAATTATTACTGCACACATTGTCAAGCTAAACATTTTAAAGATGAAAAAGTTGCTGGTAAAAAAGGTAGTTTTAATGACTGCTGTAGTCATGAAGGTGTTGTGTTAACTTCAATACAATATCCAGATGAATTAAGGCTTTTGTTAGAAGGGTTTCATCTAAAATCAGGTCATTTTTAAAAAGAATATTAGGCTGTATAATAATTCTTTTTCTTTTGCATCAGAAGAAGAGGACCATTCTGTTACAAAATTCAAGGTCAAATTTACTATCAAATTAATAGTGCTTTATATCCGGATAAAGGTGAGGATCCATGTTTTGGCCAATTATTTATTTATGACCCTGAGGAATCAATCAGATACAGATTAAAAAGTAACGAAAATTTGGATGAAGACGTTTTAAAATCTATAGAAAATCTTGCTGAATTAGCAAGACAAATAATGAAGAAATTCCTGAGTTACAATTATTGTTCACGTTGAAAAAAGACTTTGATAAAAATAGATACAATTTGCAAAGTTTTAATGAAGTTGCTGCAGTTTTTAATACAAACTCTGAAGGAGAAATACCAGAATCTTATCTAACAGTTTATAATAAATCTACAAAGGTATTGAAATTGGTTAGTAATTTAGATTCGAATGTTGAACCATGGATTTATCCCATATTTTATCCACTTGGAAATAAAGGTTATAATATTATGATTCGTAGTGATAGTGATTACAGAAGTAGAAATCATATTATTTCTAGGTCTGCCTACATTAAATACAAAATAATTGCTGTAAAAGAGATAAAGAATTTAATCAATTTTTATATGGAGGTAGATTGTTTCAACAATGGGTGGTTGACAATTATGTAAAAATAGAAAAAAATAGATTAAGATTTTGTGCAAATAATCAAGCTCAAGTGAGAAGTGAAACATATAAAGGACTGATGAATTATTTACACAATCATGTGTTGGAAAATGATGTACACTTGGGAAAAACGCTTATATTGTTTTCTACTTTTATAGGATCACCTCGCAATATGATGCAACAATATCAGGATTCGATGGCTATTGTTGCTCGTCATGGTAGACCAGATTTAATAAACCTAATTTAATAAATTATTTTTAAAGTATTTTCATTAAAATATTTATATTAATTATAAACAAAAAAATTAATTAAAATATTAGAGGAAGATTGTCAAGGTCAGCCCACTTTTTGACTTCTGTTTATAACATTTTTTTAAAAATGAATTTGGTCAACTGAAATATATTATTGGAAAGTCCTGTGTAATAGAAACACTTTTGATGAATAGGGTAAATTGATTAGTTTTAAAATAAAAAAGTGATAAAGATTTCAAAAAAATATGTAGTCAAGGTTAGCCCATATAGTCAAGGTCGGTCCATGTTGGATATTCAAAGGGCATTGCCGTTAAGAATTAAATTATCATTTTTAGCTTATACCAATGTTTATTTGTATATTTAGTATCTGTCAATTTCATCTTAAATGGTGGACCAATCTTGACTGTATTCTCACGTTTGTTTGAATAATAAACAGTAAGTAAGATTTATAATATGTTTATTTAATAAATTAAAAGTTTATTATCTATTGATAATTGTTTATTGCATACCATGTTTGTTATTGAAGTTAAAAATATTAAATACATATAGAATTTTTTTAAATATTGGAGAATTATCTGTGTCTTTCTTATTGGGTACTTGTACATAAATATAAAAATTGTGCTTTGAAATTATTTGCTTTATCAAATGTTATAGTTTTTAAAATTGCGAAAAGTTTGCAAATATTATATTTAGTTTTCTGCCACGTAGCTTCAGTGTTTAAACAAATAAAGAGGGAATAAGTGTGCATCTTTTGTAAAGCTGAGACTATTCCTAAGAATTCTCAAAATTGGGAAAAGCCGCATAAGTAAGCAATCACTCTTTCTATAACATGTTAATGAAATATAATTATTAAAATAAAAATTCTAAGAAAACACTTAAAATGTTTTTTCTGTAGATAAAGAAAACTAACATTTCAATTAGGGAAGCATATTTCACTATATTAATGTCGTAGAAGATTCTAATATATCTCCACATATTATTAAAAGAGAATTTTGTCAATTTTTCTTTGTCTTAAAAACAAGCATGCTCTACATTCAGGGCCGGATATATGTATAAGCAAAATAAGCAGTTGCTTAGGGCCCCTAAAAATTTTCAAGATTATATTTTTTTTAAATTAAAAAAAAATTTAATTTTTAAATTTTGCAGTGGTGTTACGTAGTTGCTTTAATCGTTTATTTCAAAATAAGTAAATAAAAATAGAAATAATGTTTTAATTAAATTAAATTAAACTTTTTTGAATTAATCGTAAGGGCTTAGTGCTGAGGGCCCCTTTCTTCGTAACTCCTGACAAATGCTTAGGGCCCCTTTCTTCGTAACTCCTGACAAATGCTTAGGGCCCCCGAAGATGTAAATCCGGCTCTGACCCCCACCTACCTACCTGCTTTCTATCAGGAAAATTGAAAAAAATAAAAACCCTGGTGTTTTTACATACATTAGACTATGAAACATTTGAAAAAAGACATTTAAGATTTTTATTATTGATTTATTGACTCACTTCTAAGAATTTTTTAAACAGATTTAATATTTTGACAGCCATTGTGTGAATAATTTACAATATTAATATAATATATAACAATATAGATATACCAAATTTAATAATAAATTTTTTCAAGTTTCATTAACTTTATATATGTTCTTTTCAGGTAGTATAATAACATCAAGACACAGTTTCCAGCAAGATAACTTTTGGAAAAGTTTTATCATTGATTAATCATGATCAGAATAGCTATCATCTGCTTAATAATTTTTTTTGTTAAAAGTAATTATTGTAGTCTTTCCCATGAAGACTTAGAGAATTTGATAAATGTTTTCTCAGATTCAGAAACATTTATTAAAAATCGTGTTTTAAATGAAGATGCAGCAATTTTCGTAGGCAAATTGAAATCTGGGAAAAGTACACTAATTAATTACTTAATCGGGAATACGTTAAAAAGTATAAAAATGAATAGGTTTGATCAGATTAGAATAGTAAAAGCAGACAATCAAACCGATGGACCTACAATTGGTTCTCTTGTATCTGCTGAAACTACAATTCCATCTAAATGGACTTCAAAAGTATTTCCCGATTTATCACTATGGGATTGTCCTGGATTTGATGACAATAGAGGAGCAGTACAAGACATTACTAATGCCTTTTATGTCTATCATTTAATGAAAAATGTTAAATCACTAAAAATTATTTTAGTTATCGAGACTGACAGTTTAATATCTGACAATATAGATGATTTTTTATCAACTTTAAGATCTTTTCAACAAATGTTTATAAAACAGTTTGATGTTTGTTTTCAAAGCATTTCGATAATTTTCTCTAAAGCAGAATATAAGTTTTATGGATCGACAATAAATCATGAATTCATTAAAGGTCTATTAAATGAAAAAGTTTTACTAGCTTTTCATAATATTATATCTCCTTTTACAGAAGGTTTTATACAATATATAATAGATAATAAGGATAATGTTGCTTTTTTTAAAAAAGCAAGAAGGAAAGAAATCCTATTCAATATCAATAATTCTTCTGATATTGATGATAATATTGTTTCGGCAATTAGAAACTCCAGAAGTTTAAATAGAAGCTCTCTTTTAAATGTACGTCCAATTATTTCAACGTCTTCAGAGGCGAAACTGCTTGATGCCAAGTCTGATTTACAATCAGTACAAAAAATTGCTTCATTATCAGAAACTACGGTAAATGTATGCATCAAAATTATAAATGATATGGAAAATTCGTTAGCAGCTGCAAATGAAGAAAACTTAAATACTATAAAAGAAAATGTAACTGCAATTATACATATAATAGACAGTGCTTTAAATGACAGCTCTAGCTTACAAGAAAGGATTCGAATTTTCCAACAACTTAATCATGATATTGTAACAGCAATAAAAAAGGATGAATTGTGGATAAAAATTAATCAATTAGAATTTATCGATAGAATATTGAATATAGAAATGGGTCCTCAAATGAATTTTGGTTTTAAAGCTATTCTAGATGCTGCGAAATCGAAAATGGAAATCATCAACAACGAAATTGATCTTCATAAAAAGCTTATAGCGGAGAAAGAATACAGAAGAAGGAAACAAGAAATCGAAAATAATAGAAATCAAACACAAAATGCAATAAAAATTAGCATGGAAAAAATAAGTGTGAGAGATAAAATAATTAATTTTTGGAATAAAATAAAAAAATTCATTCTTCGTTTAGTTTAATAAATAAAATGTAATAAAAGTTGAATTAAGAGAAAGTATTAAAAAAAATTTTTCCATTATTGTAGAGGATATTTTTAGGATAAACATCCTTAGGACATTCACGAAAAGTTTTCATGATATCCTGGAATATCCTTTGCTGTGAGGGCTATTTATAGTTAGTAAGGTTTAAAACGAGTGTAAAAGTAAATAAATGAGAAAATAGAATATAAAACTGTATTCAATGATATATTTAAATTATATTTTATAAGAAGAATATTATACGCATTATAATTAATATAATAAATAAAATGTATCTAATTTAATTTTAAAGACAATTATTATCTTTTTTTTTTGCAAAAGCACAAAATTTATTTGTCTGTTCTGTCTTCTTAAAAATAAGGTGAAAAATTGAGCAATAATTTGAGATATCCTTTTCTCAGACGTTTTTTCACTATATATATATGTATTGTAAACATTTATATTTTCTAAAAAGACATGCACTAAAATTGGCAAATATGCGGTAAATATATTATCATTATTTCTTCTATCGTGTAGTATTATAAATAAAAATTTTAAAAATTAGTAAATCATAAACTTTTTTTTTTAATTAAATAACAAGAAAATGTAATTTACTATTATTTAATTTTTTCTTATATTATAAAAACACCTTCTTCCAATATTATTTTAATATATTTTCATGTGTAATAAATGAAATTTTCTTGGTCTATAAATAATATATATGTATTTGTTTATAAGAATACAGTGACGTCAATTTTATTTATAAAATGAAAGTAATTACTCTATTCTTTCGTTTTGCTTGTGAATTTTTTTATTAGAGCCAAATTCGCTATAATTTCTGAAAAAATTGTTTAGATCGCATATTTGTGGTGGTACATTACTTAAAATAGTAAAAAGAGGCGGAGCATAACTATCACAGTTGGGGTGATGAGAGCGAGAGAGAAAATGCGAAATATCTCTCTTTATCTCATTACCCCCTCTCCAACTTTTTCAATTCTTTGTTTCTTCTTCGTTAAGTAAAATACACACACGCACAATGAAAATATTTAAAAAAAATACTTTATTATTTTTATTTATCAAAAAAATTATAAAATAAAAATAATCTAAAAAATTATTAAAAATAATAAGAATGTGTTTTCACAAATTAACAAAATTTAATTGAGTATTTACTCTCATTTTCTATATCGAGCTTTCTACAAATAATATTATGTATTTAGGCGCAAGACCATAAAAAATTTTTGAGTTTTTATTTTTATCGTGAATGCTAATTCAATTTGAAGATCTTTTTTTTTATTGTAATAATTGAAATCACAAATCAGTTAATAAATATAAATAAATTACTATGAATATAAAAAAGTAGGTTTTCTTAAATAATAAAAAATAATATCTAAGAGTCCAGAAAGAGAAGCAAATAATTTGATTTATTTACCCTTGCAAATATTACAATTTCTTTGAATGCTTATTTTATCAATCAACTAATATAATGACCTCGATACCTATACAACTGTTCTTTAAATTTCCAAACGCATAATTTAAAATAATAATAAAATTAATAATTTCTTATAAAACTAACAAAATATGACTCAAAACAAATTGTTTCAAAACAATTTTTAAACAATTAGTAAAATAGTAATGAATTTAATAAATATTAATAATAAAATATTCAAAAATTTTCTTGTAAAAAAATTTCATTTACTGATTTAAAATTATCTTTTGTTTTGTTATTTTCTATTTTAAAAAATTAGAACGTAAATTTCTGTCTCTGAACTCTTAAATTAAATTTGCGTTAAGAAATATAGTGAATTAAAATAAATTTATAATAGTATAGATACCGGAATCACAGGTTTTTCTTTACAAAATCTTGAAAGATTATAATTTCCTTCTTTTACTATTTAACTGTTGTTTGTTATTTGTCTTTCTTATTTGTATTTACATTATGTGTTTTTTTTTCTCAGGAAAAAGAAAACTTTTTTGTTTTTAATTTTTAAAGTAAAAAGTAACTAATCAAAAATATAATAGAATCTTAAAAAATTTCGTTAAATTATTATTAGAATTCTGTTCTATAATATAGAAAACTAAATAGAAAATTCAAAATTTTGCCATTTGGCACTTTTTAAAAAATTTTATAAATTAATAAATATAGTTTTCATTTGTTCCTGCGTCAGATGATTTATAATTATTATAATGCCGGTGGAATAAAATACAAGGTGAATATTGTCAACGATCAACATTCATAGATTTACAAATATAAAGTAATATGTACCTTAAACGGCTAGGCAGAGTGATTATTAAAAATATTTCCATTATGTTTTTTTTCATATTTATATAAGTAAATTATTAATGTTTAAATAACGTAGACCTAAATTTGTATTTTCTTAATAATATTTAAAAAAAAATTTTCACAAATTTTCACCTTAATATTTTTAACATATATTATTTTGAAAATTAGAATTAATAAAAATTTCTAATTTTCTATTCTATTAATGAAATTTAATTTAAAAGCTAAAATTTTAATATTATTAGAATAAAATAAATTTATCTAAATAAAAATACACAGCAATATTTTTAATTCTAATTTTCAAAAAGAAAAAAAAACGATATAGTAACATTTTCTATTTTTATTACTTTTTATATGTTTCATTAAAAGTAGTTCAGAAAAATTGTGAAATAGCAAAAAATAATTTTTTTGCTTTGAATCTTAAATTTGTTTTTCTAAAATACAGCGTACATTTTTCCCCAATTAATATTTTATAATATAAATATATATATAAAAAAATGTTAAATTCGAAGAAGAATAAATGTGTTTTTTAATTAACCATTTTTTGCTGTTATAAATTAATATTAAAAATTTTTTTTGTTTTAAATATTTCAAGAATGTTTTATCGGAAATTAAAAAAAAAATAATATCATACAATACTTAATGAATTAAAAATATTTTTTAAAAATAATGTAACAAATATAAAATAATAATTTTAAAAATAATTTTTAAATTTTAAAATAAAATTTTCCTAAGATTGATTTTTTCTTGTGCAAAACAATAAACATTATACAACTATATTTTCAAAGTATGAATGACAAGCTTATAATTTTATAAAAAGAATGTTTTTCTTAAAAAAAAAGACACAATTAAAATTATCCAATGCAAATCACTTGACAATTTTTAAATACTAGAATTTTAATTAAACAATGACTTTTGTTTTCTTAAAGAAGTAAAAATTATTGTTTTAACACTTTTTCAAAAGTTTAAAATAAATTGTTAAAATTTGTTTTACATAATTTTTCTTACACTTAAGAGCTAATTTTTGGTTATTAAAATTATTATCTAATATCTCGAGTTAATAAACAATTTTATGTAATATAAAATTGAGAAAGTTTTTGTTATTATTATTAAATCTAACGCTTATAAATTCTAAAACTTTCTGGTTTTTGTATTTTATTTCAACAAATTGATATTTTTTTTAAATTCTATTTTAAATGAAATTTTCTTTTTCACTTGTATAACTCGTTCGAAAATTGATAAATCAATTTCTTAAAAATTAATAATCATAAACTCAACAATTGAAAGTAAATATTAATTAATAATTGAATAAAAGTTCATTACCTATTTATTAATTAATTTAAAATTAATATTAAGCAATAATAAATGAATTAATTCATTTTCAAAAAATAATAATTTATTATTTAATAGAAGAAAAAAGAAAATTTATTTTTTTTGTAAAAAAATAGTAAAATTTCAGCAGCGATGGATTCAGAAAAGATTTTTGGAAGGGGTGAATATTTTTTTTTTTTTTTAAGAAAGATGTTCCCCCTGGATCTGCGATTAAATTTTAGTTACACATTAAAAAAGAATCCACATCTGGAGACTTGGAATAAAAAAGAAAATTTTCGTTTCAATTCTTCGGTACATTTTTTGAAGTGTACAGTTAGTAATGTTTGATGTTCATTTAAGTTGCACTAACACCATGAAGTATGTAACGACAGCTCCCAAAACCTGTTAATTAAAAATAATTATAATTTAATTGAAATTTTTATTTACTTTTTATTTATTTATTTCATTTATTTATTATTTTTTTGAAATAATTAACAAAATTTTTTAATTTATTTTTATTATTTTAATAATTATTATCTAATTTTTAAATTTACTATTTAATTTCATTTTTTTTTTGTTTTAATAAATTAATTTATTTTGTAACCATTTTAAAAATTTTGTTAAAAAAAGATAAAATAAAATAAAAAAATTAATAAATTCTCACCGAAGCGAACAAGTCGAGGGATACTGTGAAAAACTTCGCCCCTGATATTGACATTGCTTTTTGACACTGTTGACATACAATTTGAACAAAAGTTTTTGCCTCCTCCGAACCATCGTACCAATGACAAGAATAAGCAGCTTCCATGACTGAGGAACTCTGGAAAATTAGTAATTTTTTTTTTTCATCACTTTTACATTAAATTTTAAGTAAAATATATAAATTATGTAAAAGTAAAAATTAAATAAACTTTCGACAATATAATCTTGTTTGTTAATAAACAATTAGAAGTTTAAAAAAATTATTTTAAAAATTACCGCTCTATTGGCGCTCGGACATTTTAGATTCGTCATTTTGAAAATTTCAAATACTATTTTTTAAAAGATTTCGTAATTAAAATTAAGAAAAGTTTAATTATTTTAATTGTCAGAAAGTTACCTCTTCGATGAGTCGGTTGCCAAAAATGCAGAAAAGAAATACTTGACCCAGTGTGTATAACAAGTAACCAATTGTGGAAGCAGCATAAACGTTAATTCCATTTACCTATTAAAATTGTAAGAGTTTACAAAAAAAGTTTTTTTTTAATAAAAAAAAGTACAATATTATACATTGTTTTTAAAAAGTATAAAAGAAAACAATTTTTTTTCCAAACAATTCTATATATATATATATATATATATATATATATATATATATATATATATATATATAAAACAAGAACTTTAACAGTTAAAAGTTTTTATACTTTATTTTATTCATTGTTTCGTAAAATTTCAATTTATTGAAAAATTACCTTTGTAGCTTGATATGCAAGTAGAGTTAGAGTTATAGTCGTTGCCAACATGTGTAATAGCAGTGCCACGCCATAAGCATCGCCAACAGCCGTTACCAATCTAGAATATAACAAAAAATTTTCAATTTCCGTAACCTCTGAAAAGTTCAAAATTTTCTAAAAAAAAAAAGTAAAAAAATAAGGAAAATATGGATTATTTTTAAATCTTCACTCTTGAGGAGTTATTAAAAAAACTGAAATAATGTCGTGATTATTTTTCCCAACTATAGTCAAAATCGTGAGGTGGATGATAATTTTAAAAATTTAATCGTCCGTATATTATATGCATAATAATTATTTTTCATATTTAAAAATTACTTGAGGAAAACAAAAATTATTGAAAATAATTAATGATTATGTCCATGATTAAGTTTACGTAAAAATTTAACGATTTCCTTGAAAAGAAATGCCTTCTTAAAAATTCATTGTATTAGCCTCATGGCTAATTCATTAAAAACTGATGCAATGACGTGTACTTGAAAGCTCGTAAAATGTCATTACTTAACTAATTTATTAATGTTGGAATGTAGTCTTTATAAGCTTAGAAGTTCAACTTAATTTAATTATATGACCAAGAGGCAAAAACAACGAAAAGTTGATGTAACAAGTAGTTGACTTGAAAAATTATTTATTTAAAAGAGTATAATAGCAGTTAATGTTATTCATTGCCATTCTATTTGATCAATAAATACTTGTAGTACCTTGAGGCAATAACAATAATATTTTTAACAACAGATAATATAAAATTTCGCAAAATAGAAAATTACTTTTTTCCCCCTTAAAAATGAAGTAAATTACTAACATGTTAACAATTTTACTTTTATAATTCTTAAAATTCACATTAATTAAAATTCTCTGTTGACAAAAAACACTTTTAATATTAAAACACTTTTTTACCAATACAACAGTTCTTTAATCACTAAAGCACTTTTCTAATCACTGTATTATTCTTTTACAATTTTTTAAAAATAAAACTTTTTTTATTTCTATTTATAATTTATTTAAATTAATTATATTAATTTTTTATCATAACAATGTCAATTTTCACAATTTTTCGCTTTGTATTTCAAAATGCTCTTCATCTGAGACAACGAACGAAGCTTATGTGATACATTTAAAAATGAATAAATTTTTTCAAAATCCAGGTACCTGTTCATAAATCTATTCTCGAATACTTACAAAAACGAACTTTGATTTTTAATTTCTTTTTTTTATTTTATCAATTTATTATTTACTTTTTTTAAAAACTTTTTATTGAATCGGGATTCAGATTTGTAATCAGCGACCTCAAAAACCCCCGAGTAACAAATTTCAATCAGATTTGAGTAATTATAAAAAATTAATTCGCCATTTTGGATCCGCCATTTTGAATTTTTGGAATTAGCGTTCTCAGAAACCCCAGAGTAACAAATTTCAATTAAATTTGAGTAATTGTGAAAAAGTTTGTCATTTTAGGTAAAATTAATAAATTTTTTTGGCTGACAAGCGCTTTTTTAAATTCAAAATCGAAACAAATTAAAATATATACTAATGGATATTTTTCAATTAAAATCTTTTGGACACTTTTTTCTCTATTTAAAGAACGTTATGACAGAAAAATTTTTTTCTTAAATTACATTTAAAAAAACTAGACTTTTTAGACTATTTTTGAAAAAAAAGATGGGTTTAATGTCATTTTTGGAAAATTTTGCCAATGTCATTTGAAAGAGTGATCCCAAATATGGTAAGAAACGGATGTTTGAATATTTTTATGGCTTCTGTACACCAATTGTAAGAGATTGAAATTCATGTTGAAAAACAGCACATCTTATGTGTTTAAGGGTTAATTCGAGTTCATTTTATTATTTCTTGTCAAAACAATTTTTACTGAATAAACTTTTTTTAATTATAAAGTTTCAATAAGGAACAGAATATGATTTTCTAATAAAACGGTGATTTCAATGCTTATTTGTCATGGAAGTGAAAATTCTACAATACAGAATCAAATAAATCAATAATTATAGGAACTGTTCGAGCATTAATATCCCTTTCAGTGTTTGTGACATTATTGAAGAATACCAACGCATTAGTGTTACATTTTTTATTTGGAAAATTTATGATTACGATAAATTTTTAAAGAAATTAAGTTTAGATGCCTTAAATTTTAATCAGACTTAATTTTATTTCTTAATTGTAATAATAAATCCAATTCGTCTGCTACTAAGTTCGCCTCTCAAACATTATTATTAGAGTCTATGCCAGGATCCCAATATGGTTACTTATTTTATATCTGCGTACTGTGCTCATGGGCATTAACGGGTTAATAGTATAAATACAAACATAAGTGGAAATTACAGTACAATTTTTTTTCATTCCTTCCGTTTTCTTTGTATTCACCTTATGAATATTAAAAAGGAATTTAAAATTATTGTCTCTATACTATTGTGTTATCAATTTATGTTATTATGCTACAAAAGAATAGAAAAGAAATGTAATTTAAAACTATGAAAATTTTCAATTCCTCGCTTCCTACTAAGGTATAGAAAGAAGAACAACTTTCTGTACTTCGTACATAAAAAGTAGATTATTTGTTCAAATATTAAATCCACTTGACCCTATAAAAGAATATTCTCTCAATATTTATATAGTAATTAATATTTCATTAGGGTTATTTATTGACTATGTGTTTTGTATATCCTCGTATATTGACACATTTGACAAAAAATTGTCTTCTCGACTTAATATAATGGATAATGAAATGAATTATTGAATTATATACCTCCCCTGTAGGTTTCTCTGCGTAATTACTATATTTTTCATCTGAGATATGAATTTTCCACATCATTTATGTATGTTAATCAGAAAACAAAAATTAATAATTTAATTCAACTTTTTAAAGAAAAAAAATGTTAATATATAATTTGCGTGTTATTGTTGGGACAATTGTTTATCAGTCGTACTCTTCCCGGCGAATTGGTCGACTATAGAGTACGGCCCCCGTTGCGGTCAATATCGCGCATACTGCTCATTAATATTTTATAAATGTGAGAACTTCAACACTCGTAGACTTTCTAACATCTCTTTGATGTCACATAACTGTCATCTGTTACCAGAGAATCACCAAAACTTTTAACTTTTTTCTTGACAATAAATTATGTTTTGTAATAATAATAATTGTAATAGTATTAATAATATTACTATTCCAATAACATTGTCATAATTATTATTATTATTATTTGTAGCCGAAAGTGGAAAATCTGTTGATCCAGATACCTGAATGTGGGATTGTTATTGCAATAAAAAGATAAATTTTCCATTTTATCGAAAATGGATATTCTATTAGATTATTGTTACTATGAATTATAAATTTCAGTGAGACTCAAAAATATTTACTTTCGAAGAATTTACATGAAACTGATAGTATTTCAAGCAACTGGCATATAGAATACTTTATTGTGAATGATTCAGAACCTATACAATTGTTAAAACTATGTAGAGACTTTAAGTCTTTAACAGTTCGTCGTTTCAATCTTATACACGATCACGTGCACCATTTCGATTTTATATTATGTATAAGCAAAAGTAACGTTTATTTCTTTTTTGCAATGAACGTTTTCCAATTTATGTTTGTAGGTAAAATTTTTAACCACATGTAATCTTTGTTCAATGAAAATTGGAAGTTTTTTTTCTGTTAGGGATCATTTGACAAGTGAATTGATGAAATAGTTTGTGAATTAGTTCGATATGTTGAATAATCAAACTATGATTCAAAATTAAAAATAGTTCCCTCCAACATTTATATCATTTACAAATAATATAAATGAAAATTTTTTTAGTAATGCTTTTATATGCTTAGTTGATAAATAGTGACTTATTTCTATGAATGTGAAGACGATTAAATGTAAAGTCGATTAAATTCTAGAGAAATGATGAATAATAATTAAAGCTCACCTCACGACGTGCTTATGTCTTTCAACCCAGTACTTGATGGCACTTCTTACGAGCATTTCTTGCTTCTTTGTTAGTCCATTTGGACCAACTCCACCATTAAATGTCATTCCTGCTGTTGGCCTAAAGGTCGCAGTGAAATCTTGACGATTACTGTAAATCCCTCGAACGTCAAGATCTAACATGTTATTTTCACCTCCTTCATTTGGTGGCACTTGACTATCTCTAAGGTGCTCTGCACTTCCAGCCTTGAAAGTAATTTTATTAATAGAATTTAATATTTTGTTGAAAAATTAAATTCAGAATTAGTAAACGGTTTTCCTTTTGTGGACACTGACCTTAAATAATTCACTGCTGTTTGGTACGACCGTATCCAAAGTGGCACTGAGCTCCATGAGGGGCTTCATTATTTGTTTAAGATGCTGAAGTTGTTCGCAGGCGAACAATAACCATGAGCAGAAGAGGACGTCCAATGAATTTGAGTCTGTCATTGTTACAAGGAGGAAGTAAAATTGGTATATGAGCATAAGAACATGTTTCATTCCATGTCTAGCGTCAAATGGATACCATGCTCGAAGCATCAGTCTTGGGATCTGAGAAATTAACCGAAAAGATTAGTAAACGTTTCATTCATTTTGTTATTATGCTTTTAATTCGACATTTTAGAATTTTTTATAAGCTTCTATGTTGGAATTCAAGCATCATTAGCGATGCATATTCACTGGGATACTAAAGACGTTGATACTCTCAATGTCTCAATTAGGGTAATTTTGAAACAAAAGACATTTATATTCTGAATCTACTTATAATTCTCTCGCTTTTTGGGGTCCAAGGATAAATAAAAAAAAGTTCTAAAATTACCTCAACGGTTGATGTTTCATTTGTCACCGGATCAGTGATAGTTTTTACGGAATCGCCAATAAATGTGAGAGTTGTCCAGGAAAAAACTGCAAGACAAGTTGCTGCTCCCACACAAAATAGTAATCTTCTCATTTTTGTCAAGGCTATAGAATGATATCTGGCATTACTTTCTGCGAATAATGGATGACTATTTGGATTATTCCAGATTGCTAATGTTCTGTAAAAAAGTTTACTCCTCACGCCAAAGTATATAATTTTCACCACGCTGTGCGTGAAGAAAAGCATTGTTATCGTATTAGCTGTTAAATCATCGACATCACCACTTTCGAGCACCAAATTAAATGCCATACATCCAAATTGCATGAGGATCAGGAAGAAATGAACCTGTAATTTAATTTTTTTTTTTAATAACGATGAAAATTTTTTGTCTGATGTTCTACAAATTAAGGTATCGGGATTTTATATGGTTAATCGAGGTATCTGTAATAAATTATAAGTCAGTGTTAAGGTAGAATCTTAAGTGGGATTGTGGTTATGAATTACCAATAGGGTTAATTTAATGGTAAATTTGTAAATATCAATTTTGGGTTAAAGGTTCATCCAACCTAAAGTAAAAATATTTTTCTGATGATAAGGTAAAGAGATGATCATTATCCTTGACGTCATAGTGGAATCCTTTTATTTAAACTATAATCCCAATGTTAAAGCAAATATCCATGTTTAAGAGAGGAAGCAGTACGTGACGTAGAGAAACGGCATTGATTTGGCAAACCTTTTCAATACCATTGCTCCACAGGAAGCATTCTAGTAAAATCCGAGGATCTTAGAAAGGAGAGGGACGACAAAGTTCACAGCGTGCACCTCATAGAGGTTCCTGCTGAGCTGAACTTCGCTCACCGATGGTGTAGACCTAATTTAGACAACGTTGAACCATAACAAAAAGAAAGAGGCCCAGGGCCTCTTAATAATTCTAACGAGAGAATTACTCTCTTAAACGAGTCCAGACGAAAGATAGACAGTACCCAGAATACAAGAAGACTGGTAGCCAATGAAATGGAGAAGCAGTTAGTTGCAGTCGTATTGGCCCCGATAATACCCCATCAGAAGCAGGAGTGAATTAGCGAGGACAAGCCTCAGGGACTACCAGAGGGGACTTCGAGAAGGTTCTGCTTCCAGACCGAAGACTCACTATACCTGTACGAAATAGATGTAATGTGTTCAAATGCAAAAACCCCTTAGTGGCCTCTTACGATACACAATGGCTTGTGGATTAATTATTCTCTTACGCTGACTAATCAGGGTCCACAGTTGGTGAGTCCTATTCGAATCGACGACACCAAGAGCGGGCCTTCAAATTCAGGTACCCAGAGTTCGTTAGGTCTATCGGATGAAATCACGTTTACCTGCCTAGGGAGTCAGATCAATCTTAGACTTGCCGGACCGACACGACGCTTTCCATCATCATCTGTATGCTACTGCTCTACGAGAAAATCCAGGCTAGCAGTAAGCAGAGTGGGGCACAATTCAAATCCCTTGAGACCCATTGTACCAAACTCCAGTTCGCTTGTTTTAATGCAACTTATTCAGAGTTCTATTCTCTTCCAGAAGTCCAGTATCTTTTCTATCGATAATTTGCCATCTTGCTCAAAGTCACTGATTGCTTGGCCCCAGCTAGAAAGTCTGATCCTAGTCAACGCTGAGACGTCTACTCTTTCATTTCCCTCAATGTCCTGAATTACCCGGTACCCAGATCGATGAAAGTTTATGTACTGAACCCGAGTGATTCATTTCGCTACGGAATTTCCCGAAGAGTTTTGATTCTATTGTAAGATTTTTCAGAGTCCTTTGAGCCTCATGACTATCCACACTAATACTAATCCTTTTACCCTTTGTTCCTTTTGGAATGGACATTTGGGTGCAAGTTACAAATGCACAGATCTCAGCTTGCTAGACCTTTAGTAAAATGTAGAGGTTCTTCCACCAGTATGAAGCCCAACGCAGCTGTTGGCGTGGTCCTCATAGCCCCTGTAATACCTCTAAAAACCCAATGGTTTCTAGAGTTGGTCCAGTTTCTCTTTTACAGTTATTAGTTGAGTCCTAGACCACCAAACAACCACTGTTTGTAGAAATCTGGATTTTAAAATCATCTGATAGAGCCAGTTCACCATATTAGGTATCAGTTCCCACGATGAACCTATTACCCTTCTACACGTCCAAAAAGCAGTACAGAACCTTCCATACCGATCTTCGAAATGTTCCTCCCAACTCAGCTTATTATCCAGGATTACTTAGCTGATTCGAAAAAAGAAATTTCTTTACCATAAAATATCGGTTTATCTCTAAACTTGGAACCCTGTATTTTTTTGTGAAAACTACTATCTTCGTTTTATCTGAGTTCATAGAAAGTCCCGCTGGATTGTACCAGTCTTTGACAATCTTAAGTGCACTTTCCGTAAGTTCCAAGAGGGTCTCAATAGTATGCCCTCTTACAATTATAAGGAAATCATCTACATAACTTTGGCATAATATCTCTGATTATTGAGATTTCTAAGCATTTTTTTTAAGCATTTTTTTTCTAAGCATTTTTGTTGTGATGCCATCAAGCACCACAACAAAGGAGAAAGAACCCCTTCTTACTCTTTTAAGACAAGACTTGTTACTCTAGCCATATTATTCAGTAACTTTGAGGGATCATAGTGGTATAGCTATATTTTCATTATTTACATATACACAAATAAAAAAGATATTTAAAAATTGTACTTACACTACAGTAAATTTTGTGAGCGAATTTCTTTGCATCACCATAATAATTAAACATAAAGTGTCCACTGATTTGCATCAATCGAAGATTGGGCATTAGGTCTGAGACCAAGCCCTGTTGCTTGAATTTCATCATCTAAAATTTCAAAATCACTTTACTTATTACAATTTTCCAATTTTTTCATTATTTATTTTTCTATTATTACTTTTTCACTTTATCGGTAAAATTAAATTAAAATTATTTTATTCAATATTTGTTTGCTGACAATTATTTTTATTAACCCCTTCACTGTAGCGGTTTCCAACATGAAAATGCCTTTAATAATCATATATTATGAATGTCATTGACTATTATAAAGTTTTTTGTGTTACCTGAATCCTAATCATTAGGTCATAATTAACAAATTAAAAATGGCGGGTCCAAAATGTCGACCAAAAAAATTTAAAAGTTATCCAATCCGGTCATTTTGAAGCCGCCATTCTAAATTTTTAAATTTTGATCAAAGGTTTGGAATCAGCGACTCCAAAAAACCCCCAAGTGAGCATTGTCAGAAAAATTCTGCTAACTATTAAATTTCTCGGCCGCCATTTTGAATTTTCATCAAAGATTTGAATTCACCGACCCAAAAAACCCCCAAGTGAGCATTATCAGAAAAATTTTGTTAACTTTTAAATTTTTCGGCCGCCATTTTGGATTTTTAAATTTTGACTAAAGATTTGGATTCAGCGTTCAAGAAATCGTGAAATATGAGAATATCATGTTTAAAAAGAAAGAAAGAAAATTTAGCACACTTGTGGCATGAAAACTTTATTTTAACAACACTGTTAAAGGGGTTAACTTTCTTGCTTGAAATTTTTTAACTTAAGTTTACTTTTTATTTTAATAATTTTTTTGGGGTTTTTATTTTATTGTTCCTTTTTTTTATTTCATTAAATTTTTTATTATTCTTTGTTTTTATAAAAAAAAATTTTTATTATTAACATTTTTTATCGTATTGTTTATTTCTTTTTTTTCGTTATTTATTGTTTATTGTAGTTCGATTAAAAGACTAGAGAAGAATAATATAGCAACTATAGAAACTTCTTTACAGAAGGGAAATAATCCGTAGATGCATAAAGTTCGATTTTTGTCGTTTACAAGTGGCATTCACCTGCACGTACGTTATTATTGATTGAAATTTTTATAATCTTGAATAAGACACAATCCAAGGGTGTCAATGAGAAAATTTCTATATCACGTGTGCAAATCCATATATATATATATATAATAACGAAGGACAGTGAAAATTTTAAATAATGTAATTTCAAGATCAAATATTTTTCTTGACAAAAAATAATTACATTTTTTTTTACTACAATTTAGTTTTTCTCACATTAGACATATTTTTTTAGTCATATATATTATATAGTAAAGTTATTGTCATTAAATTGTTTCTATAGTTTATAAAAGTTTCGTTTAATTAATTATTAAATTTCTTTATTCCCCTTTGTTTATAATTTAATACTATATTTATTTATTTAGAATTAAAAGTTATTAATTGTTGTTGTTTTTTTTTTGAATTTATTATAATAAATGAATAATTAAAAGTGACTGTTTGTGTTTTCCCGCGAACGCGACAATAGTTGGGGAATCACCAAAAATCACATGAGGCATCTAAGTGGTCCTTAAGGTCAGTACACACACATTTTTGGCACATCGAACATTCACGTGATTCCCCAAAATTGATAGAAATTCTATCAAACAAATTTTGAATTAAAAAAACAGAATTATTAATTGTCAATCATTTAATGAAATAAAAAAATGTTTATAAATAAAAAACGCAAATTTTTTTCCGAATAGTAGAAATAAAAAAAAAGAAAAAAAAATGAGATGTTAAAGACGCGTTCGAGAGCAACAGGTCGATCTGTACCTTGAAAGTTTTTTGTTTTCCTTAAACTTTTTCAATCACTATTATAGTCTCACAGACACAATCACAAAAAAAATTGGATTTTTTTTACGAAAAAAAAGGAAAAAAAAATTTTTTTTTCTGTTAAAACACTCTTTTCTTTGCACACAACTTTTAAAAAGAAATTTATGGATGAACGAGCAAACGTGCCCGCATCCGTCGCGACATCGGTCACTTTTCCAACCCTCTTTGTTTTCCACCACTAATACTTAATTACAGATAGTTGCCCCTACTAATGTATGGAAAGCAATTCGACTTGCGCGTCCCTACCCAGACGTGGACCAATGGGAGGGCTTTTCATTAAACGCCTGCGCGAATGTAATCCACACGTTCTTCCGAACGCCATTGTACATTTTTTTTTCAAACAGTCGCTAGATTGTGGATTCTCCTTAATTATTCATAGATTGAAAATGAACGGATATTGATGCCAAGTTTCCATCCTTATACAGATGAATTCGAACTTGAGATACACCCGTCATATTATGGTTTGCAATGTGACATTAAATAATTATACAAATTGATGCGTGTAAAGTAAAAAATTCCTGTCGACAATTCTGAAATATTTTTAAACCAAAAAAATAATTGAAAAACAATAATTAAATAAGTAAAAAATGTATAAAAATAAATAAATAAAAAGTAAATTAAAAAATTAAAATTAAATAAACATTGAAATATAAAAATAAAAAAAAGTAAATTAAAATAAAAAAAAAATGAAAAGTAAATAGAAAATTAAAATATAGAATTAAATAAATAACAATAAATAAATAATTGTAAAATAAATAAGTAACAAAAAAAATAAATTCAATTTGATAACCAAAATTTAAACAAAATACAAAAATAAAGAAGTAAAAAATTAAATGAAAAAATTAAGAAAACATACAATATTAAAGTAAGTATAAAATAAACAAACAAAAGATTTGAAATTAAAATATGAAACTAAAGAAGCATAAGAATGAAAAAGTTAAAACTGACATAAATAAAAAAAATAAACTATTCAATAATAACTAAGAAAAAAATAGAAAATTAAAAACTAATTAAAATAACTAAAACATAAAAATAATAAAAACATAATGAAACAATAAAAATATGTTTAACAAATAATTGAAAAGAATTAATTATTATTTATATTTATTATTACTATTCATTTATTATTAGAAAAATATTAATTTAATAAAATAATATTATTTAACAATTTTTTTCTATTTTATTAATTTCAAAATAAAAATACGTAAATTTATTTTATTAAAATACTTTAAAAAATAAATTTTTAAATGAAGTAGATAATTTTTTTTATAAATTTTATAAATGAGACAAAAAAAATTATGGAATATAAATTAAAAATATATAAATATAAACAATTTTAAATAATTTTATTAATAAACAAATAAGACATTCAATTAAAATAAATTATACACTGAATTGTAAAGAATTGACTACATTACATTTTTATCGAATTTTTTTTTCGCATGGCAAAATTTATAATATATGATTATCTCTAATTTGTATAAAATAATTTATATTGCAGAGACAATAATTTAAATTTAAGGATAGTTTTAAGGTCAATTGTCTAAAAATAGTAAAAAACAATAGTTCATATATAATTATTGACCTATATATAAATGAGTTGTCAAATATTGTATATAGCATTCCGCATGTATTTATCGACTTATATAATGTATGTCCATCCTTTAAGACAACTATTGTAAAAGCAAATTAATTATTGATAATTCTAATTCTTGTGACAATAGAATGAAAAACCATTCAAATACACATATGTATATAAAATTATACCATTGTAATATGTGCTACAAAAAGGTGTAATTTATTTGACGAGTCGTTAACGATATTCCTAATTATATGGTTCCATTTGCCGTATAATGAGAAATCAATTTTTGAAATTATTTCTAATTACCCATACGATAGGATATTTAAAAATACTTATTTTTTTTTCTTCCACCTTTGAAATTAATTAATTGGTAATTAATTATTTATTCTCAATATTTTTAATAATTTCAAATTTCAAATTATAATGATTTTTTTGTGGTAATAATATTATCACAAATCATTAAAATATTTAAATTTAAAATATTTATCAATAAATTATTAGAAATTGCTATTTATTAATAAATTTTACTAATTCAAAGACAAAATGTAAATCCCTAATTCAAATTAGTTTTTATAAAATTGAATTCAGGGAGAATGAAATCATTAAGAGAAAAAAAAATAAATAAAAAATTAAATGAATTAAATTAAATTAAATTAAATTAAATTAAATTAAATTAAATTAAATTAAATTAAATTAATTAATTAATTAATTAATTAATTAATTTAATTTAATTAAATTAAATTAAATTAATTAATTAATTAATTAATTAATTAATTTAATTAAATTAAATTTTAATTAGTTAAAAACAAATAATTTTACTAATGAAATACTTAATAACAACTCATTTTTAGTTAAATTTACTTTCAGATTACGTCAAAAGTTCTTTTGTCAAAATTTAAAAATTCAAAATGGCGATCAAAAAAATTTTAAACTTATCGAATCTGTCTATTTTGAATTTTTTAATTTTGATCAAAGATTTGGATTCTTTAACTCCAAAGACTGCCGAGTGAGCATATTCAGATAAATTCTATTAATTTTTAAATTTCTGGGTCGACATTTAAACGCCGCCATTTTGAATTTTTAAATTTTGACCAATTAACTTTGTTATAAAAAAATATGTTAAATAATGTACATTACAATTTTCATAAGATTCTTAAAGTAAGTTAAAAAATTAAATAATGTAACTAAAAAAAGACAAAGTGATTTTTTTAAATAAAAAATTTTTTGAAAAACTTATTAATACTCGTAATATTTTTAATAATAAATATACGTTCTCTATTACTTAAAATGAATTAAAACTTATTAATTTAAGAGCAAAAAATAAAATTACGAAAAATCAAGTTTGCAAATTTTTAATTTAATAATTTTTTGAAATATTGTACATTTTAATTTATCCACAATGCTGGTAATCCTACAAATAAAAGAGGTAAGTGCAAATAAACAAATTGTTATTTTTCGCAGTCATTTTTTGAAATTTAAAAAATTTTAACCTATTTTTTTATCATTTCATTCAAAACCATTTTCTTGTCATTTTGATTATATTTATAAAAACGAAAAAAAAGATTTTTTTGCAAAATAACTATTTTTAAATAGTTGATGATAAATTACAATTATAATTATAAAAACTAGTTGGTTTTTTTTTAGTTTTCAAATTTCTTTTTGAATCTACAGGTAAAAATTCAATTTGAATAGTCTTTTGTTTGAATCGCCTTAGTAACGCAGTTATTATTATTTTTTTGACATATTTCTCGTGACATATTATTCGAAAGCGAAAATAAGTTAATTTTCAGAAAAAATCTTCGAAAAAATATAAAAAATCCAAAAAGAAAATTCATCATATCTGTAACGTCTGTAATAATTAATTACTGAAATTGTCAGGTAAAAATCCCTTTCTTTTTTTGATGATTGAAAAAATATTTTTGCAAAAATTAATTTTATTTACACTTTCAAATTTAAAAAAGTGAGAATATAATTCAATAAAATTGTAATTAAAAAATAAAAATTTTATTTATTTATTTTGTTAATTTCAATAATTTTTTTGTTTTTTGCATTTTTTAGTATGTAAAAATAATTTTTATTATAATGTTAACTTAAAAATAAAGTTTTTAAATATTGAAATATGCATTTAAATAATTAGTTTTTTTTACATTTATCAAACAAAGAAAAATTATTGAATTACTCTTTAAAAAAAATTGATCTTTAATTTCAGGTATGAAGGTGAAAATTTTTTCATTCTTCATTGGAATTTCGATTCTTATAGCAATTTGTCAAGGACTATCCCTCAGTAGACACGGTATTTAAATTTTTCTTTAAAATTAGAAAAAAAACAGGGAAAATTCCCAATAAATTATTGTATAGAATATTGAAAGAAATTATTATTTTTTTATTATTTTTGATTGTTTATTTGATATTTTATTATTTGCAATTTTTAATTTTTAATAATGCTAATTTTAATTTTTTAATTTTAATTGCATCATTTTTTTATAAACATACATTTTCCATATCAAAGTGAAAATTAATAATTAATAATTTCTTTCAATTCAGTGAATAGTTTGAAATTACTTTAAAAGAATTTGATATTTGCATTTTATTTAAATCCAATAACAATGAATTATATGACAAAGAAATAATTTTTTTTTTTGAATTTTCACAATTTAGAGAGGGTAGCAGAAAAAATTCCATTTTTCATACCATTGAATGAAACAGCTTTAGATGAGAATTCGTCTATTAGAGAAAGGTACAAATTTTTTATTTTATATCCAAAATGAAATTATTTTTATTTCTTTCTTTTTTATATTACAATTTAATTTTTCTTTGTATATTTTAATTTATTTATTTAATTATTTTATTGCATTGCCTCCACATAGAGAAAATATTTTATTTTATTATTAATTTTTATTTGTTATTTAATATTATTTATTTATTTATTTTTTTATTATTTATTTATTTTATATTTAATTTAGATTTATTTACATTTTATTTATTTTAAAAATAGGGAATCTTCAAGATCGTCAATAACAAATTTTCATGAAAATCTCAACAGTTTTCCACGACTTATTGAAGAATTCATTATTCCATTGGATAATGATGATGAAGATTCATTGAAGACAATTAACGCTGAAGAAAAGCCGAAGAATGTGATTTTGCTTTTTATTCAAGAATCTGGAACGAGGGGTGAAAATATTTGGAGGGATTTACAAAAATCACACAATTTTCCCATTCATGGATATTTTCAAGTTTGTAGCTTTTTTTAATTAAATTAATTAATTTCAAAATTATTTTTTTAACGTAAATAATTGAATTTATTAATTTCAATAATATTTTTTTATTGTTTTTTTATTCGTTAATAATAAATAATTAATTACATTCACAAATTTCAATATCATTTTTTATATTTTTAACCTTAATTAATTTAATTAATTAATTTAAAAATTATTTCTTTACTTATTTCCTTATTTATAAAATTATTAATTAAATAAATTTATTAAATTAATTAATTTCAATTTTATTTTCTATTATTTATCATAATTAATTTATTACTAAATTTATTGAATTTCAAGATTATTTTTTATTATTTATGATAAATAATTAATTAATTATATTAATTATAATTTTAAGTTTATTTTGTATTATTTACCATAATTAATTCACTAAATCATTAAATTAATTAATTTTAGAATTATTATTTGTTATTTTCAATTATTTAATTTCAGAAATAATTTCAAAATTCATTTTCTATTTCTAATATTAATAATTCTATGATTTTGTATTTATTTAAGTTATGAATTTATTAAATTTAATATTTTTGTATTAAAGTTAAACGATCGAAATTAGTAATTTAAAGATTATTTATATAGAAATTTATATTTATAGAAATTACTAATTAATAGATCTATATTTATTAATTTTTTTATTTTTATTGTAAATTTGTAATTTGTCAATTTTTTTGAAAATAAATTATAATTAATTTAAGGGTTGTCGGCATGAGGAAAATTTCTACAAATTTCCCCTAGAAAAAAGCATGAATTCTGAATATTTATCGGAATGCGATTGTCGAGGATTTCTACAAAGGAACGTGGTAAATTTATTGGAGTGGGCTCATCGGATGAAAATGATAATGACCAGTGTTGTTACACGGCAAAAATTGAAAAGAACTTTGGAAATTAATGGTAAAATTAAATTTAAACAAACATTTCTTTTAGCGATTATAATAATTTCTTGAAGTTCAATATAATTAAATATTTTTAAATATTACCGCGCTTTTATGCAATTGAATGCTCATACAGATGGCGCACACTTTTTTTTCTCACTTTTATGTTATTTCCCTTTTTTCGTAGGCTGGAGTCCCATGGTAGCGTTTTGCGTTGCGTTTTGTAACTAGGCAATGAGTGCAAATAGAGCAAACCTATATCTGTATCTCTCTCACACTCATGGCCTAGTTACAAAACGCAACGCAAAACGCTGTCATGGGACTCCAGCCTTAGGCTGAATTCCCATGGCAGCGTTTTGCGTTGCGTTTTGTAACTAGGCAATGAGTATGAGAGAGATGGAGATATATGTTTGCTATATTTGCACTAATGGCCTAGTTACAAAACGCAACGCAAAACGGTGCCATGGGACTGCACCCTTATTGTTCCCATATTTATTTTTTGTACTGAACTATTATTATTTATTTTGAATTTGAAAATTTTGTTTACAGAAATTTTTCCATCAACAAAAGTCAATCTTGAGTCTTCTTTACTTGCGAGAGAGGCGCCAATTCTTCGCATGGAATTATTTGGCGAGCATTCCAAATTGCAAAATAATTGGCATCTGATGGATTTAAATAAAGAAAAATTACCCTTTGACAAATTGACAGGAGGTAAAAAGAAAAATATTTATTATTTAGAGAAATTTTTTTTTTCAAAAGAAAATTTTCCAACAATTTTTTTTTATTACAGAGGAAGAATTGAATGGATTTTTTGGACAATTCTCAATGATTAGAATCGCCATGTTTGAAAAATGGTTAATTTCCTTATTCAATAATAAGGAGAAAATTGAAGATCTCAAAGGGAATTTAGTGGAATTAGTGAAGGACACAATTGCAAAAACAAAATTTTTGCCTGATGATAAAAATTTTGTTTTCATTGCATTTTCACCTGGCAATGAACTTTCAGCGGCTGTTGATTTCATAAAGCAGGTTAAGAAAATTTTGAATTTTTCAAAAGAAATTATTTTATTTTTTTTTTACAAATTGGAAAGTAATAAAAAAAATTTTTTTTTTATAATTAAATTTTTTAAATTTAATCAATAGGTTTCGAGTGAGGACACACTTTTACTTGTGACGGGAACTTGCTCCGAGGAGGGGAAAGGAATTCCATTTTTTGCTCGTGGCCCTGGATCGACAAATTTTAATGAAGCAACTTCAATTTTGGATCTTCCTCTATTAGTGAAACGTACAGCATCAAATTGCGAGGGACTTTGGTGTAAATTTGAATCCTTTAATCGAAAATTTGATCTTAAGAAGAGACATTCCAAAAGAACTGTCAAAAATCAAGTTCCTGATGTAGTGGTAATTAAATTATTTTAATTATCCTTTTGTAGAAATAATTATTTTCCAATTTTCATCACTTTTCGTCTATTTGCGCAATTTCTGAACGTATAGTTAGAGCTTCTGCGCATGCTCCAAGTTAGTTCAGAACTTCTGCGCATGTCCAAAGTGTACGCCTTTAGAAAAAAACACAAATATGATTTTTTTAAATTTAATTCAAGGTGGAGGCTTCGACACTGACTCAAAATGTGACTGATGGGATCAATAATACGATTGCTGATTTGACAACGAATGTCCCTGATAAGAAGGAAATTACAAATTCAACAATTGCCAATGTGTCATCGATAACGACCATATTACCTCCTGAAGTTGCAGTGGCTTCTTTACAGAATTTGGTAAATATTCCTTCTTATCGATTTCCCTACAAAGTCTCTGCTAAAAAAAAATAAAAAAAAAAAATTTTGTAAAAATAAATTAACGTTTCCAATTTTATGATTTTTATACAGCAATTGACGAATTCATCTTTGGAGAATAATACTTTGGATGTCGGTAATTCAACGAACGTTACAAATATTGTGGATTCGATGACAAATTCTACTCTTGATGTTATTGTACCTGCTGTAACTGTTGAGTATTTTTACTTTTAATTTAATTTATCTTTACTACTTTATTTAATCAAAATTAATTGAAATTAAAAATTAAACATCTAATCCTTCTGCGCATTTGAGTGTAAAAATTACTGTTGCGAAAGTCCCTCTTCTGCGCACGCTCATGACTAGTTTATCTTTTGCGCATGTCACGACATGCGCAAAATCAGAGTTTCAACAACTTCTTAGAATTTTGATTCGATTTCACTGAATTTTAAAATAATTTTAATTTAATAAAGACAAAAAATTATCGTTAAAGACTAAAAAATAAACTATAATTGAATTATCATTTCGGAGAGAGTTTAATTTTTAATTTGGAAAAATAGGAAAAAGAAATAAAATGAAATAAAAAAAATAATTTTCTATATAACAAAATATATTTGTATAAATAATTATTAATTATTTTATTTTTCATAGAAATTAGAAAAAGTGATTGCTGGAAATAATTCAAAGGGTGCTAATGAAACAATCAATGAAACAAAAATCACGACTGTTGACGACGTTATAAGGAATACAATTGTTGAGTATTATAAACATTTAATTAAATTTAATTTAAAATTTAACATTAAAAAAAGGAAAAATAACCATAAGTAGAGAATAAATATTTTTTTAACTTTTAAGAAAATTTTTAATTTTAAGGAAGAAAAGTCAACTACTGCCAAGAAGAGTGAGGAGGAAGTTAACATTTATAGCAAAGTTGATGAAGAACATATTCAATTTGAAGAAAATTTTCAGGTATTTATATTTATTTTTTATTTATTATTTTCCAATCTTTCTATTAATTTATTTATTAAAAAAATTTGTTTAATTAAATCGTGATTATCAAAAAGTTTTGAAAATTAACTCTTAATGTTTTCCATTTTGTTTATTATTTTTTAGTCTTTCTATTTATTTATTTATTAAGAAAAATTAAAAATTAAATCAAAAATTGTGAAAAAGTTATGAAAATTAACTCTTATTTTTTTCCATTTAGAACAATACAAATGGAGGAAATGAGACGGAAAATAATAATGCTATTTCGGAGGCATCCGATTACTCAAAACAAACCTCGACCGTTGTAATTAGCGTAGCAACGTCCTTCGCTGCTCTATTACTTTTTCAATTCTAAAAACTTTCTATTTTATTTTTCTTTAATTAAAAACATTTTTTTGTCCTAAAACTTTTTTCCCTTTTTCTTTATCTTTTTTTTTGAAATAAAATCAAATTTTTTTTTCTTCATTAATTTTTTTTAATTTCATTCGAAGTTAAATTATATCTACTCTCGTGCTTTTTTTATGTTTATAAGAAAAAAGAAACATGTAATTTTTGTTTGCTAATAATTATAAACTTGAAATTTTGTAAATATGAAATTTCAATAAAAAAAAACATTGCAACGAGTATATTTTCTTTTAATGCCTTAAAAGTAAAATTTAAAACACGTTTTATTTTTATAAAATAAGTTAAATAGTTTAAAAAAACGAATACATTAAATTAATTAAATCTTTAATAAATAGAATTTAAATAATTTTTTTAAATTAGTAATCAGTAAAATACAAAACTATTCTAATACAAAATTATTCGAATTATGGAAATAAATTTTATTTTTCCTTTTATTATATTAATGGAATAAATTAATTTTTAAAAATGTTGCATAATTACGACTTTTTTTTTGCTCTCTTTCGCCGGAAAATAAATTTACAATAAAAATGCAAACACGGTTTGAAATTTATAATGCATGCGTATACCTGAAATGCACTCGCGAATTACTTTCGTAATTTCAAGCAAAACTATATGCTGCAATCGTATAAAATCGTGATCTTGATTATGCTTTATGAACAAGACATCGCACAGTAGTTGTAACTTAATGTACATATGGTCCAATTCCTATATAAATAGAATTTAATAGAAAATTTGTGAAAACAGGATTTAATGCATTTTTAAAAACAGATAATATTTCAATCTCGTATGTTTTATTTAATATTTATTATAATCAAATTTTTTAAAACGATTCAATTATTTTCAAAAAAATATTCAAAATTCAATTATTTCCAATATCTAGTATTTTAATAAAAATTTGCAAAAGAATTCAATTATTTAAAAAAAAAAAATTGATAAAATTCATCCAAAATTCAATTATTTTCATGAATAATAAAATTTCCACACGAATTTAATTAAAATTCAAATTAGTTATTTAAAATAATGTTTATAAAATTCTTATGAAGAATTTAATTATTTTCAAAAATAACAAAAATTTTCACAGAAATTCAATTCTTTTTAAACATTTTAATAAAATTTTTCGCAATAATTCAATTATTTTTATATAAATAATGAAATTCTTCTCAGGAATTCAATTATTTTTGAAAATTATAATAAAATTCTAAGCAATTATTCAATTATTTTTATAAATAATAAAATTCATATGAGGATTTCAATTATTTTAAATACAATTTTACAGGAATTGCTCAAAAAATTAAATTATTCTTGTAATTTTAATTTCAATTCCTCGAAAAAATCAATTATTTAAAAAAATGTTTTTTTTAAATTCTTTGGAAGAATTCAATATTATTTACAAAAAATTAGAATTTTTCACAGGAATTCAATTATTTTCAAATATTTTAATAAAATTGTTCAAAAGAAGCCAATTATTTTAAATAGAATTTGAATTAATTTTTTGAAATTATTAAATTTATTATTCGTTTAGATTTTAATTAAATTCTTCCCAAGAATTCAATTATTTACATAAATAATTCTTCGAAAGAATTCAATAATGTCGATAAATAACAAAATTATTCCCGAAAATTCAATTATTTTGAGGCATTTTAATTAAATTCTTTGCAAAAATTCAATTATTTTCATTAATAACAATATTTATCGCACAAGAATTCAATTATTTTTAAAAATTATAAATTTCTTCTTGGTAATTCAATTATTTTTAAAAATTATAAATTTCTTCTTGGTAATTCAATTATTTTAAAAAATTCTAATAAAATCGTTCGCAAGAATTCAATTATTTTAATTAATAATAAAATGCTTTTTAGGAATTCTATTATTTTCAAAAAAATTTAATAAAATACCACATAGACAATTAGACATTCAATTATTATTGTCGAAAATTTTAATAGTACCTATTCTTTGTAAAATTTAATTATTTTTAAAAACTTTTCGTAATTCAGTGATTTTTAATATCTATTATTTTCATAAAATTTCTAAACAAAATTCAATTATTTAAAATTTTTTTTTGTAAAAATCTTCGTAAGAATTCAATTATTTTCGCATGAATAATAAAAATTTCTCAGGAATTCAATTATTTAAATTAAAATTTGCATAAAATTAGTCGAAAGAAATCAATTATTAAAAAAATTTTTATAAAATTCTTTGCTAGAATGAAATTATTTTTATAAATATTTAAATTCTTTCATGAATGATAAAATTCGTTGCAGGAATTCCATTATAAAAATTGGGAAAAAGTCAGGAAAATGAAATATAGAATGAAATTTTTGTCAGTTTTGTAAAAGTGTCTAAAATAATTTTGTCCCCTATAATATTTATTGTTATAAGAATGTTGAAAAATTTTATATACAGTTTTGTGGTTAACCGGTAAGAAATATTTTTATGAATGTGGTAAAATTAAAGAATAAAAAATTCTCTGCTATCTCATTGGAGAAAAAAATCATTTTACAACACTATTAATAATATAGCACAAGTTTTTGCATTGAACTTGATACGAAATTTCACGATAAGTTTGTCATAATATTCAAGCAAGATTGAAGCAAGATTTAAAAGTTCCACCTAACAGATTTTAAAAATTCAAAATGTCGAATTCGATATGGCTACCAAAATTTAAAAAATTAACCAGCTTAACTTGAAATTCGTCAGTCGGAAGGGGTTTAAAGTTGTTAAATTGAAATTTTTTTGTTAATTTAAAAATTCAAAATGGCGGATACAAATCTGTCGACCCAAGATGACGGAACATTTTAAAATTTATGCATTTCTATCAAAATGCGTTACTTGGGGTCCTTTAGATCGCTGAATCCGAATTTAATGTCAGCTTTAAAAAATTCAAAATGGCGGATACAATATGGCAGCCAGAAAAATTTAAAAATTCACTAATTTGTATAAAAATGTTCACTCGGGGGTTTATGGGGTCGCTGAATCCGAATCTTATGTCAGATTTTAAAAATTCAAAATGGGGGATACAACATATCGAAAAAAATTTCAAAAATGCTTAAAACTCGTAAATCGTTAATTAAACTATAATTTTCTAAATTGTTTGAAAATTTATGGTCCAAAAGGAGACTTTTTTTTCGCCAGACCGCGAAGGAATTAATATTTGATGAATATTGCCACAATATTGCACTGCAATAATATTCCGGTAAAATTTCAAAGAAATATTGTCGTAATATATTGTCTGAATTTTCACTTTTTTTTAATTAATCATTATACAGTAATAAAGCACTTTTATAATTAAAACACTTTTTTTCTGTTTTCATAACGTGCGTGAGTAAAATGTATATCAAATACTAAAAATTTCTGTACTTATTTCACTATTGTGAAACAATTATTTTCTCCTATTACAACTTCTTTATCTAGCAAAAAAAAGAACAAATTTCGAATAATGTTTTTATTAGAAACAATTTTAATGATTTTGAAATTGCTATATATATATATATATATATATTTGTGGTGTGTTGCATATTTTTTCGAAAGTGGGGAAATATTGATCACACGCAGATATAAGGGGAACCGGTCCAAGAAATTACGTTCCCACTATTTATACAAAAGAACGTTCTCCAACAACTTGAGTCTCTTTTAGTTATTTGATTATTACGTGAATCGTGTTTCAGTGCAATATAACACATAGTCGGTGCGCACAGTGACTTTTTCCTTTACTTCTCTTCATTTTTCAAAACATATAATTTTCTCTACGTTCTCCATATAATAATGTCATTAATTAACAATCACAATTCATCCAAGGTAAGTTTTATCATTGTTTTGAGTGTAATAACAAAAAAAAATAAATTACATTTTTTTCTTTTTTTAAAAAAAAAATCTATTCTTTAACAAAAGATTAGAAATTTTATTATAAAAAATGAAAAATGTTATGTGTTTATAAAAAATAAGCAAATAATGAAGACAGTGAGAATATTTTTTAAAATAAAAAGAAGAAAAACAATCGAACGATGACAAATAATAATTAACCGCAATGGAATTATTTGAAACAATCTAGAAATTTCTATCAATTTTTGTATTCAAAATTTTGACAAACATAACAAAAGGAATAGACACGTGTATTTTTTTATATATAAACAATAATGACAATAAAAAATATTTCCAATTATCTTTACAGCTTTTACAGTAAATTTTGTAATTTTTTTTTGATAATTTTTTTTTCTAGTAAATTCAATTGTTTTTTCTGGAAAATATTTTCTGAAAATTCCAAAACTATAACAGTTGTTTTAGAGATAATTCTTTTATTATTTTTAATTATTCTTTATTATGTTAAATAATTAGAAAATTTTAAAAATATGTATTTTTTAATTCAACATATTCTTTTATTTGAATATTTGTTTTTTTATAATACAATAATTAATAATGAAATATTTTTAATTTTTTTAATTCTTATTTTATTAATTAAAAATATTTTAATATTATATTATTATATAATAATTGTATAATAATATTAATAATAATATTAATTAATATTAATTAAAAATATTTTAACCAAAATTTCATTTGAATTGAAATAAAAAAATTATTTTATGTTATTTTTTTTATAGAGAATATGTCAATTAAAATTTTTTTAGCAACATTATATGAGTACCTAAAGTTTAAGTGTAAAAGTGAAAGTATACACACGAAGAGTCAAATATCTTTAGAATTACTGAATCAAGATCATTTTTATTTTTTTTTTTCTTTAATTGAATGTTCAGGAAAAATTTGAGTTAACTTATTGAAGGGTAAAAGGGAAAGGTGGTACTTTCAAATTTATCATTTTGTTCATTTTTCATTTTTTAAATAATTAGTTTAGTTTGGTTGCATCAAATTCGCAACATCAGAATCACAACCAGGACCATGACGTTTCGAGAGAGAAAGTTTTTGATGAAGCAAGAGGCCCCATTAATTTCTCATAAAAGTAGATGTAATATCATGATCTTTGATCCATTTTGCGTTCAATTGCAAATGAAAATTAATTAGAAATATTATTTCATTTTATTATTATTACAGAAACATATATAAGTAAACCGTTAATTCCAATTTTTATTGTTAAGAGAAAAAAAAATTTTAAACCACATTTTTATTTAGTCCATTATTTAATAACAATTTTTTTAAATGACGTCTTTAATTTAATTAATTAAATTAATAATAAAAAATTAATAGTAATTTTTTTGCAAAAATTAAAAAAAATTATCCTATTAATTAGTTTTAATGACGAATGATATTTATTTAATTCCATATTTTTTAATTAATTTCTTATATTTATTTATTTTTCATTAACTTTTATTGCTTTTTATTACTTTATTTTATTTATTTATCATATTCTTCTCTTTTGTGAAACAATTTTTAATATTTGTTCACTTCTTTATTATTTCAAATAAATTAAATTAATTAATAATCTTTTCAAATATGTATTCTTTTGGTAATTTATTTAAAAAATACAATTTTTATCCTCTATATTTCACTAGTATTATTAACAAAAATTTTAATGTTTTTTTGTATTCAATTCTTAAGATAAAAATATTTTTATAAAACTTTATATGTGCGACTAGGTGCATCATTAATTTCATAAAAAAATATATATGGTATTTCAGCATACTATTCTTATAATAGTCTCAACTGCAGTCTTAACAACATTTTATAATTACGTCAGCTATGATTTCAAAAGTTCTAATGTAAAATTGTTGTTTACATTATTTTTTCCTTTCGTCAACTTCTATTTTTCGTTGATATATTTTTATATAATGTTCGAAATCAAAATTTATTTATGTAATGTATATAATGTTATAATTTAAATAAATAGTATATTACTTCAGAAGCCTTTTAATTAAATTTTCAATCTTCTCGTTTTAAGGTTTTTTTTTTTGTGTTTTTATTGAAAATAGAAAATTTTTAAATAATAACATTATTTTTTTATAATAATAATTGTTAATAATATTGTTTTAAATAATAATTAATTAATGTTAGTAATTCAATATTGACAGTTATGTGAGTTTTACATTATTTTATGTTTTCTGTCATGAGTCTTACGGCTAGGTTTGAGGAGAGGGGAGAGCCGTGTCCCTCTCCCCACTTCTTCGAACTAACCGCACATCGCCTAAAATTAAAATTTCTGTAAAAATAAATAAAATCCATCTACTTTTGAAAGAAAAATGAAATTAATTTATTGAATTATTATTATTGTTTTCTAGATGTTATTAATCCATCCAACGGAGGAAATGTCAAAAATGATCAGACAGGAATTAAATGAAAATGTTGAAACACGAGACAAGGATTTACAAACTATCAAAGAATGGCTTTCGAAACAACCACATTTACCTGAATTGAATGGTAACTATAAAAATATAATTTATTCTCACATTTGTTATTTATTATTATTTATTATTATTATTATTATTATTATTATTATTATTATTATTATTATTATTATTATTATTATTATTATTATTATTATTATTATTATTATTATTATTATTATTATTATTATTCACATTATATTATTATTTAAATAATAATAATTTTTAAACATAAAAAATCTAATTATTAAATTCATTATTTTTTGAAAACTTTTATATTACCTGCTAATCAGTTTTCTTTTATTTTTCAAAGCGAAAGAAAAAAATTACTTTACAATTAGGGAAAAAATTAATCGAAATTAATTTTGCTTTTTTATTTTTGTATTTCTTGATTATCATGATCTTTCCTAAGATAATGTTTCTTTTGTATATTTGTCTATAAAATATTTAAAAAATTCTATGTCTATAAAATATTGATTCCGAATCGTCATTATTTTATGGATAATCATAAATCATAAATAGAAACCTGTTTTGATTGCTACCTTATAAAACAAATTAGTATCTAATAATTCACGCAAATAAATCAAAAGTGTAATTTTAAAAATTGCATATTCACTGCGAGAAGAGATTAAACATTTTTTTTTGTAATTAAAATTTTTGTTTTGAAAAAACAAAACCCCTAAGGTAATAAACGATTGGAACTATTAAAGAATTTAGCCGTAGTGTACAAGAAAATTAATATTCTATTACTAATAATAATTAAATTTCCTTTTCAGATGAAGACGACAATTTACTAATGACATTTCTACGAGGGTGCAAATTTTCCTTAGAAAAATGTAAAAGAAAATTAGATATGTATTTTACAATGCGAACACATGTACCAGAATTTTTCACCAAAAGAAGTATTTCAAATCCAAACATGAAGGAAATATTGTCAGCTATGTAAGTATAGTTTCCCAGTGGGCAAAAAAACATTTACGTTCGAGGAATGTTTCTAAAACGTTTCATGTTTTCCGAATTAATATTTTTAAAATATTTATTGTTCAAGAAACGTTTTTATAACATTAAACGTTTCAGAACATTAAACGTCCAAATGTTACTTTAGAAGAAGAAAAGTCTTTCGAACGTTCCTCGAACGTCGCAATGTATTTTTTGCTCACTGGGTTGGAAACTAGTTTTGTTTTTAAGGTAAAATCGCTAATGGTAAAAAGGCCATTTTCAAAAAATTTGTCTCTATTTAAACCACTAAATTTTTTTTAAAATACTAACAAATTTTAATGCACTGACTGTATGGTTCGGTGATAATCATTCAACTGTACTGTTCGGTGTCGATTCCAACGACGACAATATGATTATAATCTTAACTGTTGTTAACAGTTAAAGTCCGTCAGTTACTGGAAAATGGTATTAATATTTAATGATGAATAATATATTAGAAAAATTGAAAACCGCTGAGAGGGAATTAAAATGAATTGGGACTAAGTAACTTGAACTAGGTATAATCTCATCCGGTATTTTTATTATTTTGGGTTCTTTTTATATTTCTTTAAATATTTTATGATCTTTGTCGAATCCAACTAATCATTTCGGTGTCGAATCACTCGGATTCACTTTTATTACAAAGGGTTCAATTTCTAGATATTGATTTTTTGTAAATGCGTGGGCGTAATTCCGACCAGGTAATTGACCCTATATGCGGATGACCTGACCATATGGTGTAATTTAGAATATTTGGTCATCGATGTTCAGGTGTAAAACTGTTGAATCGATTTTACTTAGGTTTCACAATTATTGAGAGAAGGATTCAAATATGTCGAATTGTATAAATATAATTTTTTAAATATTAAGGGAAAGGGACCTTAAGCGACAAAAATACTAGGCTCAAACTTTCATGCCCAGTGCACGAAGACTGATGAGCCTATAATGTTATTGTCGCGTAAGATCACTATCACATATATTATTCTGTAGTTCATAAAAATATTTTTTTAAATTTTCAGTCAAGTTCCCCCCTTACCTGGACTCACAGAGAATGGACGTCGTGTAATTGTCATGAGAGGATTGGATAAAAATCGTCCAACACCGAATGTTGCCGAAGCAATGAAATTGGTCCTAATGATTGGTGACGCAAGACTGAAAGACGAAATTGTCGGCGTTGCTGGTGATGTTTATATTTTAGATGCCAATGTCGTGACACCGAATCATTTTGCCAAATTTACGCCAGCGCTTGTGAAAAAATTTCTCATCTGTGTGCAAGAAGCTTATCCCGTGAAATTGAAGGAAATTCACGTCATCAATGTCAGCCCACTAGTGGATAGTATTATTAATTTTGTAAAACCATTTCTTAAGGAGAAAATCCGAAACAGAATATTTGTGCACAGCACAATGGAAACACTTTATCAGTGTATTCCAAAGGATATGCTGCCAATGGAATACGGAGGCAAAGCTGGTCCAATAAAGGACATTTTCGGTGAGAAGAAATTAATTTTTCCATTATGGTTTATTGTATTTTTATTATTATATTTGTATTTTATTATTCATTGGTATTTTTTCAGATTTATGGATAAAAAGATTAGAAGAATACGAATTATGGTTCAAAGAACAAGAATCACTGAAAGCTGACGAGGCACAACGACCAGGAAAGCCAAAAACATACAACGATTTATTTGGTCTCGATGGATCATTTAGAAAATTACAAATTGACTGAGAAACATATTTATTCATTCAAAAAAAAAATAGAACATTTCGCCAACATTGTTCTTAAATTCCTTAATTATCTAATGTTCAAAATCTTGTCTTTCGAATTCAAGTTAGTAAATTCTAAATCACCTTGCACATAAATATAATTTGAATTTGAAGGCATAATGGTGGACAATGTGATTTCCAAAATTTTAATTGCGAAAAAACGATTTCTGTTATTTTCTAGATTCCAAAGTTTGGTTTAACATTTTTTTTTTTTAATTATAAAAATAAGTTTTCGGAAATAAAAATTATTCAAAAGAATCAAAAATAACGATTTAATTTATTACTTTGTCAAAACTGTTCAGATTTCAAGTAACTCTGACTAGGTATCTCGGACGACAATATGATTAATCTGTTGTTAATAATTAAAGTCCGTCTGTTACTGAAAACGGTATTAATATTTAATGATGAATAATATGTTAGAAAGATTGAAAATTAATGGGTGACTTGGGAGTAGATTTGATGATAATTTAAAATGTCATTTCAAACATCTAAAAAATTAATTTTCGGGGCGCATGATTATTCCCCAAAATGTCATTTTACCGAACTGCACTTTTGCGAATACTCATTTTTGCGAAAAGCCAATTTTGCGAAATGCCACTTTTGCGAATTGTCATTTTTTTGAAAAGCTATTTTTGCGAATTGTCATTTTTGCGAATCGCCATTTTTACAAATTGACATTTTTGCGAATTGTCATTTTTGAGAAATGTCATTTTTGCGAATTGTCACTTTTGCGAATCACCATTTTTACGAATTGACATTTTTGCGAATTGTCATTTTTGAGAAATGTCATTTTTGCGAATTGTCACTTTTGCGAATCACCATTTTTACGAATTGACATTTTTGCGAATTGTCATTTTTGAGAAATGTCATTTTTGCGAATTGTCACTTTTGCGAACCGCCATTTTTACGAATTGTCATTTTTGCGAATAGTCATTTTTGTGAAAAGTTATTTTTACGAATTGTTATTTTTGCGAATTGTCATTTTTGCGAATCGCCATTTTTACGAATTGTCAATTTTCCGAAAAGTCATTTTTGCGAATCGACATTTTTACGAATTGTCAAATTTCCGAAAAGTCATTTTTGCGAATTGTCATTTTTGCGAAAAATACAATAGAAAACTTGTAGGTCTATAAATTCACTATTGTATTTTTCGCAAAAATGACAATTCGCAAAAATGACTTTTCGGAAAATTGACAATTCGTAAAAATGGCGATTCGCAAAAATGACTTTTCGGAAAATTGATAATTCGTAAAAATGTCGATTTGCAAAAATGACAATTCGCAAAAATAGCTTTTCGCAAAAATGACAATTCGCAAAAATGACAATTCGCAAAAATGACAATTCGTAAAAATGACTTTTCGCAAAAATGACTATTCGCAAAAATGACAATTCGTAAAAATGGCGATTCGCAAAAGTGACAATTCGCAAAAATGTCATTTCTTTAAAATGACCATTCGCAAAAATGGCAATTTGTAAAAATGACTTTTCGCAAAAATGGCTTTTCGCAAAAATGACATTTCACAAAAATGTCTTTTCGTAAAAATGACAATTCGCAAAAATGAGTTTTTGAAAAATTGACAAATCGTAAAAATGACGATTCGCAAAAATGACTTTTCAGAAAATTGACAATTCGTAAAAATGGCCATTCGCAAAAATGACAATTCGCAAAAATAGCTTTTCGCAAAAATGACTTTTCGCAAAAATGACAATTCGTAAAAATGGCGATTCACAAAAGTGACAATTCGCAAAAATGTCATTTCTTTAAAATGACCATTCGCAAAAATGGCAATTCGTAAAAATGACTTTTCGCAAAAATGACATTTCACAAAAATGTCTTTTCGGAAAAATGACAATTCGCAAAAATGAGTTTTCGAAAAATTGACAAATCGTAAAAATGACGATTCGCAAAAATGACTTTTGAGAAAATTGACAATTCGTAAAAATGGCCATTCGCAAAAATGACAATTCGCAAAAATAGCTTTTCGCAAAAATGACAGTTCGCAAAAGTGACATTTCGCAAAATTGGCTTCTCGCAAAAATGACAATTCGCAAAAGTTCGGTAAAATGACATTTCGGAAAAATGACATTTGGGGAATAATCATGCGTCCCTTAATTTTCTAGTAAATTTTTTTATTATTAACTAAGTCACAGTACACAAATATAATTAATCACATGATATTCTTTGTCTTAATAGCTTAAAAATAAAATCTCTAAATTTAAATATCATAATAATGTGGTGGTTGTTGAAAATGTTCAAAATGATGATGCTGATAATGATAATAGTGATCATGAACATAACCATTATGATACTGTTTACATTGATTTCTATATGAATTCCAACAGTTTTTGATAAAATCTGCCGCTCTTTCGCCAATCATCACAGCTGGAGCGTGTGTATTTCCAGAAATAACATCAGGCATTATACTGGTATCAGCGACTCGAACACCAGACACACCTTTAACTTTCAATTCATTATCAACAACAGCCATTGGATCCGTGTCGGGACCCATTTTACAAGAACCGGCTTGATGATTTTCTGCATTTGTGTCCCTCGTTACGGCACACTTCCAATATGCATCAGTGCCGAATTCAAAGTTTTCACAACCTTCCACCGGTGTCTTATCAAGCTTTATGTTGTATCTGTAAATTTTTAATAAAAATTATTATTCGAATTTTTCTATACTATCAATAGATTCTATACTATCAATAGATGTTGAATACTCACTTTTTAAGAGCGTTGGTCTCTGTTAATCGTATCGCAAACTTGATTCCCTCAGTCAAAGCACCAATGTCATCAGAATGAGAGAAATATTTTGGAGAAATCATTGGTTTTGAGAGGGGATCATTATTTCTCAAACGAAGGTATCCCTTACTTTTTGGATGAAGAACGGTTGGATAAATGTTGATATTTCGTGGTGATTCTGAATTTTCATTGATTGCTCCAGTCTCGGAACAGGCCGCCAAATAGCCACCGAAAATAAGTTGTATATCCGGATGATCCTCATTTGGATTTGCGTATTTTGTGTTTATCATTCCTGTCGCTTCCGAAATTCCTGAAATTTTATTTGCATTATTGATACCCTTATATATTACTGGATTCTTCATTCTAATATTTTCATTTTTCTAGGTAGGAAAGAGGTACTCGAAGAAAAAGATGGTTCACTTAATCATAGCAATTTATAAGTTTATGGATTTATGATTGTTAAATACTTTGAAATTGTAACAGAACACTTATAGTCCTATCGTAAGGAGGTAAATGATTCTAGAATATTGATGCTGTAGGAAAACTGTGTGAACATCTCATATTAGATATTAGGTTGAAGTTGGATATAATATGCGTGTAGAAAGTTTCGTCGATAATCAATAAGGAAGGACGTGAAACAGTGAACGTCGTGCGCTTAATTATTTATGAAGCAGATAAAGCTACAGTATTTGCGTGAAACAATAGACGCTTATTCGCCTTAATTAACTTAAATGTGCAGCGAGCGCATTCAAGAATGCATCAGGTAAAGTACTCCTGAATAATTCAAGAAGCAGGGTCATTGACAAGACACTTATGCATCTAATAAGATATTTTTTTCTCTCTAGTTTTGGTATTTTCAAGGACCCTAATTTGTTAGCAGATTTCCCAAAAAGTTCTTATGCACAAAAAAAATTCTATGAGAGGGATGATATGCTTACCTGTACCAGACATGGGACCTCTTCCTTCAGTCAAATATTCCATCGCAGTCGCCCAATTTAACGTATTGTTATTAGGTTCATCAATGGTGAATGAAAGTCCATAGGAAACATGATTATGTAGATTTTCTCCAACTCCTGGCAGATCGTTCACCACTGGAACATTCACTTTTTCCAATTCTTTTTTTGCTCCAATTCCACTATTTAGAAGTATTTGCGGTGAATTAACGGCTCCTGTAATTTAAAAACAAATGTCTGAATACTTTTCTCCTACTTTCAACGGATTCTTGTCTGCACAAAATTTGATACTTCAGAAAATATAAAAAGAATTGTTATTCCATAATTTTTGGAATCTTTTAAACCACCAAAATTTCTGCGAACTTTATAGAGAGACAGGTGTAGACACTGCAGACATTTTTACTTCTGTTATTTCTATTTGTACAATTAAATAAAAATTACCTCCACTAACAACGACCTCTTTATTGACGCCAACTTTATTAAGTTTTCCATTTTTATAAAATTCAACAGCCACGGCTTTCTTATTGTTATCGAAAATAATTTTTGTCACTGTTGAATTGAGCATAACGTGGAAATTTTTACGATTACGAGCCGGTCGAACAAAAGCTCGAGCACTTGAAAATCTTGATCCTTGTAATGAATTTGTTTGAGCGATCATAAATCCAGTGTGATTTCTTCCATTCAAATCACCGGTATTGTAACCTGGAATTATTATTTAGTTATTTATCAATTTCGATGTATATAATAATTTAAAAATTGTATAAATGGGACTTTTTATTAAAGAATAATTAAAGTTCAGCTCACCCAATTCTTTACCAGCGTTGAGAATGTCATAGCTAATTGGGAAATGATGATTAAATTGAGTTACTGCAAGTGGTCCTCCTCTACTATGATATCCAGCATCTACTTTATCTAGTTGTAAATTATTTTCACTTTTCATGAAATACTTGAGTACATCACGATAGGACCAACCTTTGTTACCCAATTTTTCCCAATTGTCGTAATCTTTTCTAGATCCTCTCATATACATCATTCCATTCATTACACTGGTGCCTCCAAGAACCTAGAACATTTTTTTTTTTTTTATGATTCTTTGAAAACTTAATAACATGACAATGAGAATAATATTTAACTGAACTGTGGGCGAAAATTTGCAAACAATGGGAAAAACAAAATTTTCAATTTTATTGCGAAAAAAGGAATTTTTCTTTTCCCTGCTGTTTTTAATTTTTTGCCCACAGTTAAAAATTTTTTTTAAGTTTAACAAAATCTTTTAAAAATTAAAATAATTTGTTTTTAAGTTAAATTTAAAAAGTTGTATATTTAAATACAAAAATTAAATAGATAAGAAAAGATAAAAAATTGTACCTTTCCCCTTCCCCAGTAGCATTTACTATCCTTTTTATTGAGACAAGCATTTTCCTCGCTCTCAGTTGTATATTGCCAATCCATATCGGTATGTAAATAATTGAAAAAAAATGATGGCACTTGTGACCATGCCGGTTCATCTAATCCTGCCTCCAAAAGTAATACGGAAAAACATTCTTCTTCTGATAGCCTCGAGGCAACCACGGCACCGGCACTTCCTCCTCCAATCACAATAAAGTCATAACTATAAAAATTATGTAAAAAAAAAAAATAAATTAGTTTTTTTTACAGAAAAATAAATATCAAGAACAATTATTATCATTAACGTTGAACTGTATAATAATTATAAGGACTCTATTATTGTCACTGTCAATATTCATTCTTAATTATTATAATTATATTTTTATTACCATTGTTTTTTTTCGTTCTCTTTTCCTTTTGTTAGAAATAATTCTAGAGTGAAAATTATTTTAAAAAAACATTTCTCACATTGTTACTATTTTCCTTAAATTATCTTGTTTTTTAATAGTTAAGTATCGGAGAATACATTTTTTTTTCTTTCCTTATCGCAAAAACTATCAATTTTAATGCAAAAAATTTTTTTATTATTTGAATTTTAATTAAATTTAATTAATTTTAAAAAAATATATAAATTGGAAACATTTCACAAAAAGAAAGTAATGAAAAATTATATTTTTAAGGGCATTTGAACCTTGATGACGTTACAGTTTGTGCAAAGCATGTGTGACGTCATCAAGGTTCAAATGCCCTTAAGTGTTAAATTTATTGTTGAAAAGAAAATTAAGTAAAAAAATTAAGAAATGTTTGAAAAAATAAACAAATAAATATTTGATAATAATTTAACGACAGCAGAATTTTGCAATTTGCATATAAAATTCTTTCTTTCCTTCTTCATTCTGCGATAATGAAAAATTAACATTTCTTTTTAAAACACGAGTAAAAAGTATTTGAAGATATTTATATTTAGAAGAGAAAATTGATGAAAAGAAAGCAGCTTTTTAATAGAAAATAAATTCTCTAACCTGTTATTAGGAATATTTTTTGACGATACACGACGGCATGGATCTTCCAAGTCACATTTTTTACGAATAAATTGCTCCAATATTCCCATAAAAAGTATAAATGCTCCACCGCCACATGCTGATGCTAATGATGTACCACTAAAATTGTTGCTTGCCAACGGACAAACGGCGTTGCAATTCATCTAAAAAAAAAGTAGAATAAAAAAGAGGAAAAGAAAATTATTTTTAAAAAAATTTTTCTATTATTATTAATAATAATATTCATATTAATAATAAAAATAATAACAATAATAATAATATTAATAATAATATTAACAATAATATTAATAACAATAATAATAACAATAATAATAACAAATGTAATAATATATTTATTGCTATTACTATTTTTTATTATTATTATTATTTATTTATTTATTTATTTACAAACTTTTACCTATAATATTTTTTAATTTTATTTTTAATTTATCTTATTTAATATATTTTATGAAAATGTAAAATCTACAAATTTGAGTTTAGTTAAATAAATTAAAATTAGATGACATAAGTAATATAAACTAAAATTAATTGAAATAAATTATTTATATATTTATATTAAAATTACAAAACTTCTAAACTTTGATACCTTTTAATGTAAATCTTTTACTTTTTACGATTTAAAAAATTTTTTTTAACGTGAGTATAAAAATTTTCAATTTTTCAAAAAAAAATTATAAAAAAAAATTTTTTTTAAATAAATTATTCAAATCTCTTTCTATATAATATTCAGGAACCTCACATCAAGAACTTCAGAAATCAACTGCGAACGTTTACAAACTGCGGTAAAATGTAATGTACTCGCAAGAATCTTTAGGCTTTGAAAATTCTCCCCCCCTCCCCTCTCTGAAATTTCATTAGTAAATTACACTGAAGAAAAAAATTTTTTTTTCTTAGCGAAAAAAAACCCAAAATTAACATAACTATAGAGATGTGACACGTGAATATTGAGAGGAACGACCAATTTCATGGTCAATTTTTACATTTCCATCTGCATATCTCAAAGAGAAAAATATTGATATTTATATGGGACAATCTTTGTCAAATGTTTCCAGTCGTAAGAAGAATATGACAAAGAAGAAATTTTTTTCGACTTTTGTTAAAAGATTTTTGCAAAATGTTTTTTTATTTTCTAATAAATAGAAAGTTATAGAGAAACATATATTTTAAGAATAATGTAAAAAAAAAATAAATCCAGGATTTATTTACGAAAGAAAAAACTTTTTTTCAAAAACAATTAAAAACTAATTAGAAAAATTATTTATAGATTAGAAAAAAATATAAAAAGTTTAAAATTATTTTATTAAATTATCGAAAGTTTTAAATTTTATTTAAAATAAGAAATTTTTAAAATTATTCTTAAATTGCGTAAAATTAAAAAAAAATTGTTTAACATCATAAAAAGTTCTAATTTATTTACTAAATTATGAAAATTTTAAAATTATCTTCAAATTATAAAAAGTTTTAAACTGTTTTTATTAAATTATCAAAAATTTTAATTTACATTTAAAAATATAAAAATTTAATAATTATTTTCAACATTATAAAATGTTATAATTTATTTAACAAATTATGAAATTTTCAAAATAATTAAAAAATGTTTTAATTCATTTACAAATTATAACATTTTTTAAATTATTACCTCTCGAAAAAAGATAAAGTTTTACAAATATTTTACTGTTATTTATTGACAAAAACTTAACCAAAGCAAACGCGTATAGAACTTTTTATTATTCGTCATGGAATGTTTGACAAAGAAAAGACCCAATAAATATGTACATTCAAATTGTAATAGAGAGCCCTGTAAAATCTTTAAAAGAATACCCCGTATGGAATTATTCATGAAACTAAATTACTGACATGAGAAGAAATATGTAAATATCTTTTTTTTATTAATCCTCCAACTTTTTTTTTTTTTAATTTATAAACATTGAGAAGAACGATCATTACAAGTTAAATATGGAGTTGTTAATTAATTTTTTTTATTTTTGCTTTTATAAATAATTTTTTCTATGTTAGATGTTAGATTTAAAAAAAAAATGTTAGATCTAACATTTTTTTAACAATTTTTTTGATATAACAAAACAAAGTATTGTATTTAATAAAAATTTATTTTTTTAATGTAATTTAATATTTTTTTCTATTTTTTAACATAAATATTTATGTTTAATAAATAAATAAATATCATTGTTTAATATAAATAAAAAAGCGCATGTACTTAAAAAAGTAGGTATTGTAAAAATCTATAGATAAACAATTTTTTTTTTGAAAAAAAGAGTGCAAAGAATGGGGGTTAAATTTTTCTATAGTACAACAAAAAATTGTAATTATTCTGTTTTACGAAATTTCCCTACACTATTTTTATAATATATAATATTCTTTTGAGGAAAACAATCGGATGGAATTTTTTGTAAAATCAATAAACAAGTCAAAATGAATTATCTGCAATAATTACTATATACAAATCTACAATTATTTTTATACTACTATATACAATTTAGAGTTGAAAAAGTACTGGATAATTGTATTTAAAGCCTTGAAGACCTGATATAAGTGTTAAATAATAATTATTAATAGTTACTGATAATTTTTTAACATTTTTTTCCTCTGATAAAATGAAAAAGAAAAATGAACTTTTAAAATTAATGTAGGTAGGTACTTAAATATAAAATAGTAAAAGTTTTATTTTATGACAAAATTTCGTAAAAGATTTGTTAATAAAAAATTCGTAGTGGTAATTATTTTAAAACATTTTTTTTTTAAAAACAATCAAATTTTATAAATTTACATAAAGGAAAGAATTACATTTATGATAAAAAAAACGATTTTCTGGTTTCTTTTTGACTAAAACAAGGAAATCAAAATTTACAGATTGAAACAAAGTCAAATTATTTTTATTTTAAATATTGTTTTTTAAAAAAGTAATTATATAATTTTAATAAACAAAAAGTTATTAAAACTTTTATTAAAACAATATATTTATTAACTTATAAAACATTATTATAATTTATTAATTATTTTTAATAAATAGTTATTATTCAAACTATTTTTATTTGAAAAATTTTTTTTTTAAAACAAAATTTTAATTTAAAAAAGATTATGAAAACTAATAAATATTTATTTTTTATAAAGTTTAAGTTAAACATGAAATTAATCTATTGTAATCTTATTATTGTTTTTATTATTTACATTATTTCTAAAATAATAATTCTTTTATTTTTCAAAATGATATTTTTATTATTTTCTTTTTGTGATCATTTTTTTTTATTTTCTTTTTTAATTATTTTCTAATAAAAAGGTATTTAGGCTTTTCATTAAATATAATTTATCATATTTCAACAAAAAAATTTAAAAAATGTAAAAATAATGTTAGTTTAATTTTTTTTTAATTATTAAAAATTTATTAAAAATTTTTGTTTATTATTTTATATATCATGTGCTGAAAAATGGAGTAAATTTTATTTCAAATTCTTTTTTATCCTCACCTTTGAATAATAATTCCACTGGGGCTCGAAGAGAAGAAATCACCTCTTCGTGTCAGTTTCAGTAAATATTCAAACTTTGATTAACTACATGATGCGAAAGAGCGCCAGTTTTTATAATAGTTTACGATTTCTGGAAAAATAGAGGGAGAGGAAAGAGGGGCTCACCAATAAAAATTGATAACTGTGAAAATCCAATAAATGATTAAATGAATGAATAATCGCGATTGGGAAGCTCCACACATATATTACGTCACTATCTTTTCACAAAGGAACAGAAATCTTTATAATAATTATTTACGTAATTAACACCTGAAGATTTTGCATCTTACAAATTGGAAATTACAATTTATTTCATCATTTTTCTTTCAAAAATTATTTTTTCATATTTTTATATAATATGATTATGGCAAATTCAAATTATTTATATGATTATTTATTTTAGTAAATATGTGTCAAATTGAATTTATTTTTTGTTATTGTATTTCCTTGTTGTGATAATTTTTTTTATTTTTTTTTTAACTATATTTTTTTTAATAAAAAGACCTCAATTTTTAAACTTTTTATTTGGCTTTTAGTCCTTTATTTTAACAAAAAATTAAAATATATTTAAAAAATATATATCATTTTAATATGATATTATAAAAATAAAAAAATTTTGATTTTTTTTTTCACATTGACTCTGAAATGTAACCTATGTTTTTTAAATATTTGCAAAGTTTTCGATTGATCCAAGTGTCAAAATTTTTTGACGTTTTGAAAATATTCTCAGGACATTCCAGAAATATTTTTAGGGATATCCTATACATTTGTTAAAGATATTCTGAGGATATCCTCATGATATATTCTTTTGTTGTTATTATATTAAAATTATTATTTTATCATTTACCAAAAAAGAAAGTGAACATTATAAAATGTGAAAAATGTAATTTATTTGGTTTTTATTATAATTGTGACACTAATTCATTCAAAGTTTGTTATACATGTGAAAAAAATTTAATTTATTTATTTTTATGGTAATATAATAAATTGTTTTTGTAAGAAAAAAGGCCTATTTGTATAGAAAAATTTGTCATGATAGTCATGATAATAACAATAATTAAGTTATGATAACAAAAAAATAACGAAAACAGAATCAGACAGTCATCGCGCATGAATCACAAATTAAATTACGCAAAACTGTTTTTTATGAACAGGTGTAAACTTAAAAAAAATTAAATTTTATCGGATATTCAGCTCCACATATTTTTTTCTGTATGGCAGGTCACCTTAAATATTAACTTTAACACTGTCATAATATTTCTTTTATCAAAAATTTTTACTTTATCAAACAGAGACAAATTAAAAAATAATTACTTTCATTTTTTTTTTTTTTTTTTTTTTTTTTTTTTTTTTATGTTCATTAATTCAATGTAACGAATTTTATGACAAAATTAACTAAAAATTTATTTAATTACCTAAAGGAAAGATAACATAAATAATTTATGTAATCACAGAAGGAGTATAAGTGGGGTGTCCAGGTACCCCACTTACTCCCTAAAGTTACAAAAATTGTCAAAGTTACTATATTTAAATTTTTTAAAAATTATTTTAAATTAGTTAAAATCATGTATTTATTGAAGTATAAATTTATAGGTTATGCATAAGAAAAAGATGTATTTTATAAAAAAACGTTTTCATGCAAAAATTATATTTTTAGAAAAATGAAAAATTTTGCATATTTCTACTTCACTATTTCTAACTACTTATGAAAGAATGTTCATAATTAAATTTCTGTATTCTCTGCGTGTGCGCAGTGACAGACTAAATTCTAAAACCAAAAAAATGTGATAAATTCCAGTCAAATTTTAATTATAAATTTTATTAATATTAATTAATAATATTAACTGCCATTTGTTTCTGCAAGAAATTCAAATACGAAAACAAATTATTAGGAGCCTTTTATAACATATGTAAAATTGTTTTAATTAAACAAATTTCAACGTAAAAGTTGTTATTAGTATAAACATTTATCTTACTATAGAATAACTACCTTTTTCCGAATTTTCAAGAAATTTTTCAAATTCTTCTCTCAATAATTCCGTATTATTTTCATTATTTTCCACTTCTTCAAGTAACGTCTCTAATGGTACATTTGTTACCTGCAAAATTTGGAATTAGCTTTTCAATTTCTTTTCATCATAAATTTTTTAACTATTTTTGAGAAAATTTAAAAATTATTGAATATTATATTAATTTATAAAATTTGAATACA